TTCTCCGGCATTGCGTGCACGTGCGTGCGGCTATGTACATTTTGCATCAAGTTAAAACCCACTGAGAACTGTACGTTTCCTTTGAAGTTTTTTTTTTATACTTCGCGTCGATTCCGGATCGTTGCATAAAAACTCCCATGGCGAGTCACGGATTTCATTATACCACTCCGGCAAATGAGGTTGGACGGCGAATAGAAAAATGTCGATTTTCATGAGATTCCGGGATCTGTAAAAAAAAATTTTATTTTTATAAATAAAACAAAATTATTTTTTAGAATAATAAAAATTACAGTACCCTACTGACGCGCTGCGTACAAGTTTCTAATCGCTGAGCTTCTGAAAGCACATGAGAGCTTTTCGTAATCCAGTTGCAGACTGGTCTGCACACGTGTTCAGCCACGTGGCCAATCGCGAATTTTCTACTTCCCAAACACATTGTGTACACGCTGATCCGTCTAGTATGTACCGTTCCCATGATACACCCTCAACATCAAAACACCATAGAATATAATACGGTGATCCAGTCCGTCCCAAGGGAAAGTCACACACCGATTGGAAGTTTCGTAGATAATGAGTCTTGCCATTGGCGTAGACACGGTCCCATGACCAGCAAAGGAGACCCATGGGAGGGTAACGTTTGTATGAAAAGGGTTATGGCTTATGGACATAGTACCATCGACTCTCTCCTATGATAATGTAATATTCTAATGGTACTTTATTATCGTTAGTTATCACCAGAATACATGACACGTGTCTTGGGATGTAATAGTATTTTCAGCGAGCAGTTAAATGATGTCAATAAAAAATGTACATGCTGTGAAAAATATTAATTAATTATTAGAATAATTAAATACGTGTAACAGCGTACATTTTTATAAAAAATATATATATATAGTATATGGTAAATTGTCATGGATATATCTGTATATCGTATGGGAGAATTATTATTACTATAAATCTATGTCTAACCGCGACATCAAATAATAATTAAATTATATCATACGTATATGTATCACTTTACGAATGGTTTCATTTATCTTTAAAGCGAGCTGCCGACGATCATATTTCACGGCACGGTGCACCATACATAGAACGGAGCAATGCGTCCGCCATGTAAACCAATTTGCACGCCATGAAGCCCCGATGACGATCTGTTGTACGGAACGCAGATATTTCCCATAGGAATTAGAAGCGCACCGCCGCAGATATATCCATGGGGTACGTTCCCACAGGAGTGTTCGGGAGTATGGGAACCCATGGAGCACTAGGAAGACTGAAGAATGCCACTAATGGCCCCCGTCAAAATAATAGGGATTCTTGTAATTGAAAATATTCTCTGTCTTTCTCTTTCTTCTCGCTCTTCATTATTACTCGATACACACGCGCTATATATACGTAACACTGATTTTAAATTTTAAAGCCTGATTACAGACACAAATAATCTACTCGGCCTAGTTCTAACGCACTAATTTACCGAGGAAGGATTAAAGCGCATAGAGAATGTAGAAAGTTTTATGGGATGTGGAAAAGAAAAGCTGTATAATCGTCCGATTGCGTTTTGCGATTCGTTAACGCGTGTACACACGTAAAGTCACTCTTGTTTTGCGGCGAGTTTACGTTAAGCGACTCTGAGCCACTTCATAGATAAGGGCTTAGGACTCGAGTGAGAAATATAAGTGCGAATAATGTAGTCCGCCCTTGCATGCAGATTACGTGGGGAACCACGGCATAATGTCAAACAATTACATCGTAATAATTAGTAATTACCGCTTGGTGCGCTGCCGTCTAGCGTAAGCTACTAGTATGGCACTGAGGTGTATGACTTAAGTGTGATTTAAGTGGGATTTTAAGTGTTATGTGGGCCACTGATTATCCGGCTGCCCTTCTGTGCTCCTGTAATTGACATTGCTCGATGTCTTATCTGAATGGCGAATAAGTGCTCGAATAATTTTACGAGCTTACCGACTTCGGTGTTTATTTCAAGTTAATTGGACGCGATTAGACATTTTGCTAATTTACTCGAAAAATCTGTACTTTGGAATATATACATGTTTCTGGAGTAAAAGTAGATATTTTCGTTAAATTTGTATTTCGACAGAAGTATATTTGTAATCTTTTTTTAATTTTGTTTGTTAGGTTAGGTTGATATTTTTCATATTGTGCATTCATACGGTGGAGTAGAAAGGGAAGGATTTAAGGGGACCATTAAAATAATATAAATGTGGAATAATAACAGTGACTAATGGACCATGGAGCTGGTGTGTAAAATAAAAATGGTTATTCTCCCCCTGATGGATAAAGTAACCCCATGGAGCGCGAAGCGTCGGGACGCTCCCATAGTCGACGCCCCGAGCGTCGTCCACTTCATTCAAACGTTACATTATGCCAGTCATCTCCCCACGCACTCCGAGCATTACAATGCAGTTTTGGGGTCGCACTCTCATTGAAGTAATTTTTGTCACAGTGCCAGCACGTGGGAGCATTTTGATTGGTTGATTTATGGGAATGCAGGTCCCTTTTCATTCTAGCAAGTTTTGCCTTTATTTCATTGAAGAAAGAGACCGTGCAAAAACACAGTGAACAAGTTTTTAATTCCCTTATTCAAAGCGGACGACAAACTTGCATGAAATTCTTGAATCTATCGCAAAGCAAACTCCATGCGTGAAATTATGGTTTTTTTGCACAAGGAGTTACGACCATGGCAAAACCCTAAATGATTCTTGGTGACATATCGCACAATCGCCATAAGTGTTTGTAGACACGGTATCACTCCCATGCAATATTCATGGGAAAACGGCAACGTATTACTGAGAAACGTATTACCATAGTCGTCTACTAAGTTATTCGTTATTCTACGTGGAAATAAGAGATGACAGTACATGTGCGTCGAGGAAATATTGAAAAACAATCCAGTTGAAAGCACACAAACCCATTGACTATACCTGGTATTTTTTGTAATACTCAAGTATTTGTCTCGGAAAAAAACTATTGCTTTACTTGAATTTCCTTAAATTTGTGGTTGCACTTTGGTGAAAATTGCCTTTGTGAAAAATGCATGAACGAGAAGTAGCATAACCTATGAGTATGGAGAATTCTGGACGGGAAAAAGTGAGTGAGAAAAAGTACTTTCTATAAGGTGTGTCAGTTCGATTTAACTAAAAATATATATATATACATAGGTACCTCTAATTCAGCACGAAGAATCTTGAAGAGAAAGACGATAATAGGAGTCAGATCGTCTAGTTAATATACGAGGAGCAAGTATTCCCTCTCTGTCTCTCTGTCAGCCACTCTGTTAAAACTTATTCTACGTACATATAAAAGTCTCAAAGAATTCCGTATTCCGTGCAAAATGAAACGACATATGCAAATGAATTCTTGTTAGAAACTTGGCTAACATCGGTTCACTCGAGTTTCCATAGCGCGTTTTCCCGCCACGAGGACACGAAGACGAGGATCAAGAAGAAGAAATGTCCTCCCACTGTTATACGAGGAAAAGCGTGCACAACGGTGCGCGATAACGGGCGCCTAGCGAAAGCAATTAAAAATCAGTCGAACGATAGCGAGTCGCGCGTACGAGTAATGCAACCCAGATTGTGCATTAATCGAATTCAATCTCAAGAGTTACATGCAATCCGGTATTTACCTTAATAATTTTATAACGCGCGCGACACCACATCTACGTTGTAACATTTCTCATAGGTCCCAAAACTGCATGTAATATACTGGTCTACGGTGTCGCCATCTATGCAGGCGTCAGTTACGAAAACACTGCACTAGTCAGGCGACTATCTGTCAGCTACAGAAAAGCAATAGATGTCGCTGAAGAAAAGAAATATTCCTATGAAACTAATGATTCTTTTTTATCACTTAATCGAGTAACCCCATTCGCCAGACTAATCGTAACGATCAATAAATATCTACGGGATAAATATATACGGATTCCAAATAAGTATCTAACATTGTATATCACTACTCGCAGAGGCATGAAATTGAACCGTGACCAATTTCGAGGCGAAGGCATGCAACAAGTGCCTGGAAAGAGGAGGCACTGCGTTAAAAGCGTTGAAAGGGAACTGAGGGTTGACTTGAGGAAGGGCGGCTAGAGGAGGGCTAAAGGAGGCAGGAGGGCGCAAAGCAACAAACCGAACACGAAACCGTTCATCATGCCTCGCGAGCCGGTTCGTGGTTCACAGCCCGTGCAAAAGCACCTTCCAATCTTGTGAGTTAATCTCGGACAGTTTAGCTGGAAAAACGGCACTACTATGTGAATTAACAAGGCTTAATAGTGCCACACGTACGTCGATTGACCTGTCGAATATGGATATAGAGGTTAGAGTGGATGAAGATATACAGCAGTAAGGATTATTACATCAGGCACGATACTCTGCGAGCTTTTAGAAAACATGGTAAAAATTCACAGTATATATTTTTAATGTTATTTGTGAAACGCACCGTATATAATTAGGTGCTATGACGGCACGTCGAATAGCATCAAACAGAGCGGAAAGCTGCCACGTGGTGACGTATATTAAATGCCTGGACTAACTACCTTTGCGATATGATGAGACATTCCGTTATGCATGACTAACCTTTACTAGTACCTATCTACCCTATTGACGATGGTCCATCGTCAATTTCCTAGTTTGCTATTACGTTACCTGTCGTGATCTTAATATCCGAGAATACATCTGTCCATTGCTCGCCTTGCATTCTTGTCCTCCGACCATTGACGATCAATAGAGATATTATTCCGTCGAAGTAATTGAAGATGGCTTTTTAATAAAATACTTCATTGAAAAGATATTGGACGTGCAAAACTTGTAAATTTAACTTTGAAGTGGTTATCAGTGAATATGCAGTTTATATTATTATGTTTCAAAAAATAATCGACTCATATAAGCCTACTTCAGCCCGAAATGATTGTCTCTTCCCGCGAATTAACCTCCGGAATGGAGACTCGCGTTAATGTCAATTCGATACAAAATCGCTGAGTTTCAAATGATTTAATATTCGTATCTCGCTATGAATTCGAATCAGAATCGATCCGCGAGGAGAGTCAGTTTTGCAGGACCAACTGGCAAGTCTTCTGATTCATTTTTCTTGGCCGCCACTCAGAATCAAGATGAGTCATTTAGTCTTCAGGATAAGAATATTCTTAGGAATAGAAACATCAAGGTTAACTTAAGGGAAGCCATATCTTGTTTACCTAAAAATTCTCCGTTACCCTGGACCAATTTAGATATTGGTGATCTTGTATACGTGAGATCTAAGTCCCCAGGCAAAGATATGAATACTACGAAGAGCAAAGAGAAAGAAGAGTCAAAATTGTCCCATAACCTTTCTCAACCTTGCACTAAAGCTTCTCACGAAGAATTTGAAAAATCATCAATCTCTTTAGGGAGGATATTAAATTCAGATGGAATTGATCATGAGAAGCGTCATAGATCGCCAACAAAAAAATCTAGATCCACTTTAACAAAGCCCCTTATAATCGAAAGGCTGAAGAGCGACTTCCAACAGGCTGATACATTCGTAACAAAAATACGTGCTAGACGTAATTGGTGCCCTGAATTTCTAACGAGATATTTTCGCGGGAATTTTCAAAAGGAAGAAAATCTGGTGCCAGCTTCGAGAAAGACATTTTCAAAATGCGTACCGGAGAGACCAAAAGTTTTCTCCATTGGATTACACGGTAGATCCAATAAAATTCGTGAAAATTATAATATCGTTTCTCAAGTCGACTGCGCCATTAAAAATATAAAAACATGGCTGGACGCCGCGGAACCACGAAAATCTTCTAGGACTCGTAATTCTACCGTTTACCAACGTGTTCAACAAGATGATCGTTCTTCGGAGATTTCTGACCTTAAATATCCCTATCCGCTGTGCAATAAGATTTTGATAGAAAATAATGACTCAGTGAAGAAATGCCTCTTATCATCGAACAAGCACGTAGAGTTATCACAGAGAAACGATGGCCCTGAATTCTTACAGAATTCGATTAATTTGTCCCACGAATATAAATTTCAGTCTCGATCGGATTCAGCTACAAAAAATCATCACTACGAGGGAGTCGCGCTCGGGCTGAAAGGCACTGTACACGATCACCGGAAACATGAACTTAGTAAAAATCATTACAAAATCGATGACCTGAAGTTCCAAGGGAATCGTTCGACTCGTAACAATGAAAAGAGTCATAAGAAACAATCTTGCACCTGTCAAAATAACGAGACGTCGCTGAATCATCCCAGAGGCACGAATGATTCCGTAATGATTAAACGCAAGCGTAGAGTTTCAAAGCAGTGCCTTGAGAACATGAAAAAAAGTCAAGATCTGGAAGCAGATCTTCGTAGAAAGGCTGATGATTTCATCTCGAATGAAAAAACCGTATGCGAGAAAATCAATGATCCATTTGTCTTAGGTTCATCCGTTACGAAGTTACAGGAAGCGGAAGACTCTTTGGGCACGTCCAAAATTCCACTGCATGTGTCGAAGAATCATTATCGGCAGCTTACTAAAACTTTGAATGACAGTGACCTCGTGGACCAAGATAAAAGTAAAACTCATGCGAAGTCAAGGCTGAGGAAAAAAGCTTATAATGAATATAAAATTCAAAAATATCAAGAAAAGTACAAAAGAAGGTCCAGATCCAGAAGTACTAGAAGATGCAAGTCTAAAAATTTTATTTCAAAGGATAACGACATTTTATTGTCCAAGGAACCTTTGAACGTACACGATTACGACACTGTCATTTACACCGATGACAATTCTTCTTATGTAAATATTGAGGATTTTCCAAAAAATGTAAAAATTGCAGAAAAACAATATTTGACTGCCGAAAGTGTTTTGCTGGAGGATCAATGGACAATTCGATCTGGTAGATCTGGATCGAGGAAAGATGCGTTATCAATGAGACAGGAAAATTATTATAAAATGGTTTCGGAGTCGAAGGTAACGGAAGCTCGATTACTCGATGACATTAAAAGAAGGATTGATCAGGACTTTGAAGAAAGCTTCTATTGCAGAGCTAATGACCTAGGAGCACGTTCGTCTCTGTCATCGTTTGATTTCGATGACAATTTTGGCACTCGGGCTGTCAATGAAAAAGCTCCGAGCTTCGAAAGAGACTCAGCTTTGAATCTTCATATGCGCGTAAAGTCAGAGGACTCCTCGAAAGCGAATGATATTTTTAACCTGCCTAGGGAGAAGCTAAGAAATTCAAGATCCGCTAGCGGAATGGATGATTATGTCACGGTTTATTCCAATGACACACAAATATGCTCGAGACCATACTCAAATTTGGATTTAGTCTCGTCGAAGAATTTTGATAATATCACTAGGACGACGAATCTGGAGCAACGGTATTCATTATGCGATGGAGAAAGTAACGAAATTAATATTTCACGTAGAAATTATTTTTATAGAAGAGAGTTGCTTTTTGAAAATTCGAAAAAATTTAGCCAAATACCGATAGGCATTGAGAATTCAGTTTCGACAAAGTCGATAAATAATTTATCCAACTATTCGGATCACGATAAGTCAGCGGTAATATTCCCTTGGAAGACTTCCAAATTGGATTTGGTGGAATCCGTGGATTCTGGTGTTTTGACGGATTTCTCGAAAAACGATCTCCATCGTAATTCGCAAAACGATGACATGTCGGATAACAAAGACAAGACAGATTTGGAAACGAAAGAGAATTCTGCGATGCGTAATGACTTCTTGGTATCTGACTCGGATGATGACTCGGATGTTTTTTTGAGTAAAAAATTGGAAAAGGCTGTCGAAACTTTTACAGAAAAATTAATAATGTGCGAGAGGAGAGCGAAAGCTCGGGCGAGACAAAAAAATGCCTGCATCTTACTAAGAGAAAATACCAAGCATAGAAAATCCAAAAAGAAATCTCAAAAAGATAAAGAGGTAATATTATCAATTTTTTATATCTAAAGATACACTGGTACTTCTCTTTGATGTAATTATGGATTATATTTCTTTTTATAGGTACAATGCTCCTCTGAGCACAGCACAAAAACCTTTAAGAGTTCCTACAGCATCACGGATCCATCCAAAGCATCACAATGGTCCAGCGAGGAAGAGCAGATTGCAGACCTCTCAACTCCTTCGTTATTCTCCTTGTCGGATTCCGAGATAGAGAGCTCAGAATTCATACAGCCGAGAAACAGAATTATCTTCGGTCGCAGAATCTGATAACAATGACACAATATATTATTTTTTTTTTTAAATTATCAATCTTGTTGAAATATCTGTAATTGTGTCCCGAGTGGTATCTCTATAGTAAACGCACATATTTGTCCATGAGAATTTTGAATTTATCCAAAAACAATAAGCTTCACGAGCGAAACAAAAAAAAAACAAATATTTCATAATAATACAAATTGTATTATTTCCTTCATAAAGTCATGCGAAAGTTCAACCACATCATTAGACAAACTGACCATTCGTGTCGCCTGTGGTTTCCTTTGAAGGTAAATCAGTACAGCAGCAGGTCTGTCCGATGTCCACTTGGACGGAAACGCAAAACGAGTAACGAATCGAGAAGACGAGTCTCCCCGTTTGTCAAGTTTCCATATCCGCAGAGGAAATAAGGGTCACCCTGTCTACTATTAAAGTATCCGATACACTCACGTATAAAACGGAAAAATGTATAAGTGATTTTACTCAAAGTTTCTATGATCAAAGCAAAGACGTACCTGAGACAGTTTTCATTTATTCTGAAAAATGATTTTCAGAACGATTTTTTTACTTGATCATCTGCTCTATAAGGAATATAGAAATTTCAAGAAATATAATACTTTTTTCAATTTCCATACAAGCAGATTGGTTAATAGAGAGCATTGAGGAATATTAACTGTGAGACGAATCCAAATTCGTATTGAAGATTACTGTAATATTTATTTATTTCTTTGTACAGGGATCCTCATAAAGGACTACGATATCAAAGAACGCAGGGAATTAGATACTGCGAGACGCATTTGAGGTAGACTTACAACTTATAAGATACTTTTCCATGGCTAATCCCTCGGTGAATGCGATCCTACAAGATTGAAATACATTTCTCTAATTCGTCCCCCATGAAGAAAATAATTATACCCTCTTTTTCAAGCGAACGTGTCTCTTGGGATGGAACTGCGAATCAATGATCCTTGGCACAGCGAGAAGAAAGCATCATAGTAATTACTACCTGTGATAAGAGCCAGAAAGTTGCAGTGTCTGAAAAACCGTATGGGATTTCCCCATGCTCAAAATATACTACAGTACCATAGTATAAACATCAGATTGGCTGGATGATGTTGGGTGGTATTTGCCGTGCAGACCTTAAGGCATTTTTCTATTAAGCTTAAGGATCCTCGTGCCCTTCTTCAGGAGACACGTTCTTCCTGTGACATGTGCGGCATCTTGATTGCCTGGATACAATGATTGAATTCCGGCCGATGGTACAGGATGAAGCTGGAGGACACCTCCTGCCACTGTTTTATCTATGGTATAAAGGTATGCAAGATATTCATCTAATGGACTTATATACTTGATAGACTAAAGAAGATGGTTTTTTACCTTAATACACTGTAAAGATAGTTCCTGTATTCATTTTGATCTGTTTTTGTTTATCTGTCATCAGGGCACCATGGATATTGTATACAAGGAATCCATGCGGAGAGAAAAGATTGCTTGGAATTCTCTGACCCGTAGATACAGGGAGTAACTGTGAAAAGGGATTGGTGACAAGTGAAGTCTTCCTTAGGAGTTGGTCTACAAGTAATTTTTTTCACCGTACTCCAAAATTGTGCAACAGTATTAGAGGTTTAAGCCAGAAGATATTATTCGAGAAATTCACAAACAGATATACATTGCCAAAATGGAATCCTCAGCTGAAAATCTAAAATATAAGTCAAAAATATAAGTAAAGTTGGTTCATCTCTATGAAAGATGAAGAAGTTTCCTTGTGAACAGACAGTCGGTTCCACTATGGCGAATCTTTGCGACAAGACGATAAGACGTGCTTTCCCAAAGCTTTTATAGTTATTATCCTCAAGATATTTGTCGTGTTCCTGCGATCAGAGTGATATTGTGGTCAACCGTGTCCATTCTGTCTACACGTGGTACCCGAAGCGTTCATTGTTTGCTGAGTGATAAAAGCTCTGAGTCTGTTTATCCATCTCTCAAATACCACATGCTCTTCCTTACTTTACACTTAACCATTATCCTTTTCGTCGTCTCTTCACCAGGGACATGGGACATAATCTATCATAAGAAAATTTCAAAATGTTGAACTCTCTACATACCAGATTTACCTCAAGACGTAATAAGCATATCCATTTAAATATTATTTTTTTAATAAGTCATATTTAATATTGAAGAAATATTTTTTGCAGATTTTAATCAATTTGATTCATCCATGTTTCTATTCTTATACGTTCACGTTGTGTGAACAGGAAATGTTTCAAAACACCCTGACATTTTACTAGGTTTGTATAGTATACCAGTCGCGCTATGTCCCCAGATAGTTATGTGATCATTCTATGACGATCTTCTCCATCCTGGCAAATAGGGGATGCTTTTAGGGGTCGGAAGGACGTGTCAGTGGAACTGGGGCTGGATAACGTTCGAAACAATTATGTGATTCACGCAGATTTCCTGTCTACTCGTCTGTAGAGTTATTAGTGACACCCTTTTGTGCTGTGTCTGATCTCTGTTACCATGGGGTCCCTTTATTCATGCTGAAATACTGTTGGATGATCAATGGGATAAATTCAATTCCGTATGATCTTGGAATTTCGTTAAGTATTTTGATTTATGATAGAACGCTCGTGAAATTCTTTTAGGATATTTTGATAAGGCTCTTTTAGTTTGCAAGTTGAGCGAGGAGGAAGGTGGGAATGAAAATGATAGAAAAAAAAAAGAGCGAGATGAGAATATAAAACTCTCCAAGTTTCGCCACTTGACTCGAAAATTCTATTTCGTCGGCGAATAGCAAAGCGAAGATGACAAAGTCGGGGAAAATTGAGAAATTGCTTTTTCTAGTGGCGGCCGCGTCAGGGATAGGATAGTGGCGTTCAGCTTCCCACGGGAGCAGAACGTAAAGCCCCCCGGGACTAAGTAGATTCCCGATGCCTTTGTCGAGCGTCGCGACGCCGCTAAGAAAAGACCTTGATCGGACGTACCTATATTCAGGATACCAAAAATGTAATACCAATCGAATTCCTTTCTCTCGGTAGCATTAAAAAAAATGTCAATGTAGTCTGTGATACTTGTTGACTTAAAAATATATTTTTTATTATTCATTAACGTCACAAAATCTATCACGTAACTATCTGTAAATATTCCAAAAAGTATTGTACAGCGGATATTTCAATTTTTCAAAGAAAAAAATTGATTTTTCAGATTTAAAGAAGTCTTCCCAGGAGGGTGCGACATATCTCTTTATCCATGTGGCACAAAGGTTTCGCGAAGATTACAGGGCTAGCAATCCCCCATCTATGGGTTCCATGGGGGCATTATGGTGACACAGAAGTAATATGGGATGGCATCATCCCTGGACAATGCACCATGGAATCAGTCTTCACGATACTTAAATAAGCTGAACGTAGTTAGGTACTTGCTGGGTTTTATATGTAAGGTGGTTGCTCATCGTGATTCCCTTTCACCTTCACATAAGAACCCCCAAGTACTTTCTTTTCTGAGCACTTTTAATTTTCTATCAAAGGGGATAGGATCATTCAAGATAAATAATACAGCTTCATTGTCGAGATACGTGTATTTGAGTAATCAAACATTTATGTACAGATATGAACAGCAAGTGCTTAAAGGACTGAATTTTTCAATTAATTCTTAACCAATCGTACAATCAGTGATAATCTTAAATTTCGAAATAAAGCCTTAGTACATAGAAAATTATGACCTATATGGTACATTTATACATAGAATTATATATACGGCTAGCATATATATATGTACATAGATCTGTGCTAAATTCGATTCTAACTTATAGTCTGCATGAAATTAAACCAAATTTAATATCTAAGTGTACTTAGTGTTTATTCACAATTACATATACAATAATTATGCTTAATACTGATTGCAGGTCGATAGCTTCCCTTTTATTGCTCATCACGTACATGGACGATAAAGATTTTTTTTAAATTCATCAAAAGAATTGTCAAATTTTAGAAAGGTGATAAGCTTCTTGACCATTGCATGTACACTAAATAGATTAAAGTTAATTATGGCTACGTAATCGGTAGGTCAGTATATTATATACGCATTATGATCTTTATAGTACCTTAACGATGTAGTTATTAACTATCATAGAGATTAATGCCATTTTGGACTGATATTATTATTATAGGTAGATTATAATTGAACTAAATTAAAAATGACTTCTAAAAATGAAAATACAGAAAGGAGACTATTGCTTTGTTTTAATTAGGTTCTTTATCAGTAGCAGGAGAATGCTTTGCGTTAGTTTAATAATTGAATAAAAAATAGTAAATCTTAAAATAAAATTGCATTCTTCCCGAAGTCCCACTCGATAAATTTTTTGCTGACTAGATTAATTCTTTGATAAAATAATTACTCGACTAGAAATCTCTTCCTTGCTCTAATCATACTTTTAAATACCTTAATGTTTTTTTACTTTCTATAATAGATTTCTTGTAATTCGTTTGCAGATCACTTCAACTTTTTCAGTGTATTTTTATATTCTTGACTAGATTCCCTTGACTCTTACTTAATGTCCTCTGACTTTTTCAAAAAATAGACAAATCTACGTTTGCTATTGAAAAAGTTTAGAAAACCAAACTTCTTAAGCACACGAATTTTTGTTCATCTCATGACGTCAGAAGACTTGTATAATCAGTGACTAGAATGTACCATTGACTAGATATATCTTCATACAATAACAATCTGTTTTTGTATTAAATCTTAACTAATGACTGACCGAGCTTAATGACTTATAATCTATTCTTTGGACTAGACGATACTCTTTCATTCTAAACAAATAGAATGAAGAATAATGCAAAAATAAAACATAACCGCAAAGAAAAATTGCACTCCAGTATAAAGAAATCTACAAATAAATGTAATTCGACTAGATATAAATTGCCTAAGAGATAAAAAAAAGATTCAATGGCAGTCGCAACTACAAATTATACTCTTTCGACTAGAAGTCATGAAAATCATTTAGCAAACTGTAATAACTTAAATTTCCATTCATTTGATATCATAATGACTAGACTGATAAATTTCCACAGACTCATTATCCAGAATCCTATACAATTAATTACAGACTATATCTTTGATCCTGACTAGATTCGTGAATGCATTTGACTAGAGATCATTGAAACATTGTAAATTCTCTTTTTACTTAATCCATACGCATAAAATTAATTAATACTATTTTCATAAACGGAAATCCACTCTGCGTGCGACAACTATAATCATATAATTGATTTGATATCAGTGACTAGAATAGTGGCAATTTCTATGACTAGAGGACATTTGGATTCACTTAACTATCTTTGATATTACAGCTGTATGGCAACGATCATGCAAGATCGATTGCGGTCGTGAGACTAAAATTCCCAAAGGATAGATAAAAAGAAAGAAAGACGGAGATGACGTAATCTAATTCTAACTTATTAATTAATTATGCAGACTAGATTATTCGCAGGAGCTCCCGACACGCGACACACACAATTTGTCGCTCTTTTATCGATAGAAATTTCGTTATGCTTTCCTCTACACATTGATATCTACATGGAACACTGACCTACCGCAATGCCTATCTACACATACTATACATTACACGAAAATCTACCGTCCACGCGATAGACATTCCCATTCACAATTGTACAAAAATTTTACATGACAATTCATAACCTCCTCGTGTGTTTGCTACATTGTAACTTCTCTATCTTACTTTGGCAAATAGCTGTCTCATTGATATTAGATAAATGACTTAGAGCTTTCAGACTAGAATGGAGTGAATTGTGAAGCTTTTGAGAATCAAGTTAGCTGAGTTTGCACGATTATGTTAAAATTGTTAATTTTTAATTAATGAAAAACGACCATTTCTTCTTCAGGACCCCGACGCTGTCAAGGACATCTCCTCGAGTATAGAATTTTGATTGTGCACTCACGATTACTGAAAGCCATCCAGGGGTCGAAAGGTTACATAAGGTCAAGCCCAAATCTCCAGTAGAGGCCTGGTCTTCTAGGCAACGGTCTGGCAGGAAATTGGTGTCAGGGGACTTCGGTTTGCAGTGGAGTGGCTGCAAGTGGAACTGCATTCGATGCACCAGATAGTTTGGGCGAGGCGCTAGAGTGTTCCTGAGGGCTGAGAGCGCTGCTGCAATTGTTTTCAAGATGCTGGCTGGACATGTGCTTCCTGAGTGCGGCCTGCCTAGTGAACTTAGCATCGCACCTCGAGCAGGAGATTTCTGTTGCAGGACTACCATTGCCATTCTCCCCATTGGGCAGCCTGGGCTTGTGCCATCTTCTGTGGGACGCTAGATTAGCTGGACAGGAGAATCTCTTGTCGCACTCGGGACAGCGGTACTCTACGTGGGCGATCCTGGAGCAACGATGCTGCGCCAGTTGGAAAGCATCTTCGTGAAGTTGTCTACAGAGCTTGCACTGGTATGGACCCAGACGATTCTCTATCTTTGCAAGCTCCGCACGAGCCTCCTCGGTGACCTCAACGATGTTGAACGCAGGATCGATGTCTCCGGTTACCACAGCTTCGTCCGGACCAAGGATCACGGTTCCGGAAACGGGACTGCTGGTATCTTCGTCGAACTTCAATCTCCTGGCGTGTTTCTTCTTCGGACGTTGCGCTGGCTTCTCTACTGCTATTGCTTGTTTAGGAGTGGTCGACGGCGAGACGACTTCTTCTTCTCGTGCGCGTCTTCGAGGACATTGAGGTGGCGAAGGAGTGCTGGGTGGTGTCATCGGAGCGTGAATACCTTGAAGATGCTGCTGAGGAGTCAGAAGTAGCTGTTGATGGTAATTCTGCATAGACTGCAGACGCGTGGGACTGGTCATCGGCATCTTTTGTCCGGTAAGATTATATTTGAGCGAGTTCATCTGGGGTATCTCCGTACTCGCATAAGACAATGGGCTTTCTTGCAATCTGGTGTTATCCTGATGTATTTTAGATTTCTCTTCGTGGTCCTCGAGGATGGTGTGTCTCTGATCCTTTTGGAGCAGCAGCTGATCATAGATATGATGTACGGATCTGTGATGTAAGCCGACAACCTCATTTCCTGGCGACACGTCATCGTTGTCATGAATATATCTCGGATTCTCGAGTCGTCCCTGCACTTCGTCTCTACTTCTACGATCCTCATCATCGTCCACCTCTATGGCCTCGCCCAGACTCTCTTCAGTCTTCGGGGTGCTTGATGCAGGCGGTGGTTTCAGTGACAAGTCCAGAGGACATGGTGTCGCCGAACGATGTGGCTGCCACGAGGGAAACACGTGAGTCTCGGCAGCTCTTGCGTAAGGATCTTCAATGGGGATATACGTAGAAGCAGCAGTGTAAGGATGAACATCCTCACTGTAGTAACCTCCAAGGTAGCTGAGTCCTGGGGCGAGGAACGCCCTTGGCAAGGCGCTATGTAACATCGCACAAGAGTTTCAAACTCTTTCTAGAAGACTGTCGAACTCTTCATCGAATGGCAGCTCCAATCTCAATGGAATTCTTCATACCAGGAGAATCCGAACTCCATCGAGCTGCAAGGATCTCAAAGACTCATCTTGTCCAGCCAGTGATGTCCTGCGATGTCACTTTCACTAATAAATTGGTCGCGTCTCTCAAACCTTATATGTAAACTCAACTTAAGCCTCGCTGTACAAACCCTACCTTCTTTCTCGGCGGTGGCCAGACGCCGTTTGCCAGGACGCTGCTCGTGCGAACTCTCGTATACCATGAGGCTCCGCCCGTTGGCTACCCTTCGCAAGTTCTCATTGGTTGACTCCCTTCCTGATCCTCTGCCTCGTGTCCGTTTACCCTATGCGCAGGGATGAGTAGAACCTCTACACGAACTGAGGGCAGAGAGCGAGTATATGTCAGAGCTTTCATGAAAGAAGGAAAGAATAAGCAAAGTGATAGACACACGAATCTTTCACATTTAGATAATCAGACCAAGTAGTATTTTTACCTGTACTTTCAGAAGTTCTTCCACTGCAACTGTACAGTCATAGAATTGTTCATTTTTTAAATGCATTTCCTATATTAGAAGATAGTATATGCCAGACTAGTGGATAATACTTAGATATTCGATTTTTGAATTTAATCATACAAAAATATTTTTTTCAAAGAATTCATTCTTTTAAAGTACTGTTTATTGTCCATACGAAACGTTTTCCTATTCCAGGAAGAATGTCGCACCTTACAAGTCTGATAAGAATCTACTGTCTCTGTATACGGACGAAATGGTAACAGTAATTTTCAAAGAGAATATGGAAATAGTAATGCATTATATGACATGTGTTCATAATACCAGAAGACTTCATCGTAGTTGAATTCTCATTCACGTTCAACACAAATTATCTGAATGCTTCAACACTATGTTCTTTCAATCATCAGAATCAATTACTCTTCAGTCTCATGGTCCATGTTTTTCATAAGATTTCAATTTTCCATTTCTCATACATTAAATCATACTTCATACTCTTTAGTATACATATGAAATACCAACAATCGTGCCAACAAAGACTAAGAAAGAAAAAACCATTTATACCCTTAATCCTACTCCCTTTCCCCTTCTTAAGTTCAACCACTGTGTCTCGACTGATGTCTATATACCCGTTTCACGTTCAACCCTACAATTGCCACCAAGGGGTGTTCTACTGTACCATGTATTAATCAATCCTCTCGAAGTCAGATAGCTAAACTACTCTCTTGTCTATTCCGTGGCGTGGAAAGCACTACAATTACAAAATTGTATTCGACACACGTTTACCTATATCTACACTGTACTCAGTGCACTCTATTATAAGTTCCAGGAAAGTAAACTGTGCTACATAAAATTAATTAACTCTGAAGTTACTTTCGGAGCTCCGGAAAATTCGTATTAAAAAAAGCCGATTAAAAATTTCACTTCTGAACAAATTGCAAAATAGCAAGTCTCTTGTCTCTTTAGTAAATGCACATATGCTATTAGATTATTATTATTCTTTTTATTCGCGTGATATGATAACCGTAAGTTTCTTCAACGCTCCTGAATTGAATGCACCATTATAATCTTTTGAGCTGATTAGGTAATTAGTGGTCGGGCACGTTCGAGTATTAGTTGTAAATAATTTCGCGATATGAGCGACGGCTTCGTATGGTATGGTTCGTCTGCTGTATTCTCTCATATGTTCTCTGTATGTGCTGAGCCGATTCTCTCGGTTAATCTGCACCCCTGAGGGATTCCCGGAGGCTGGACAATCACGCTGTAATTGGACGAGTGCACTCGAGATGCTCTCAAGACGTTGATCAAAGAACGGCGACAAGTCTACAATCAACGCAATTATTATCAATTATTATTTGTCAATCTGTTCGACAAGATTATGTGCACTGCTCTAATAATTTTAGATTCTTTTATCGTCTTATCCGGTTTTACCTTAAAACACTATTAATCGTCCACACGCTCAGTACAATTAGTAATGTGGTATACAGGCAAGGACTCGTACAATTCTGTGTTACCATTGGCCAAATGCATATGAATTTCTACTGTAGCGTAGAAAATGGTGAAATTAACGTGAGATAGAATGGATCGATACAGATTTTCCATGACTATTTCATTGGCTACGTGGTTGACCAGACCGTGGTAAAGTATTTTGTTTTAATACTTTGGATTATCGCTAGAAAAAAAATAATCACATTAAAACGGAAAAGTTTAATCATAAAACATGCAGATGATAAAATACACAGTGCTTACTTGATAAAATAAATTTTGCGCAAAGTATATTAATGAATATCGAAAATTCATATGTTTAATTCATATATGTCCAGATATACGATCGTATAGAGACTGAATGCCATATGTAAATAGTTCGATTGCTTTTTCATTACTTAAAAAAGAACTCCGGGAAATCATAATTTAAATATGTCCTTCGTGCACCCTCGTCTCAGGACTTATTTTCAAGGCGAAATTACATGCTTTCTTGAAAATGAGTAAATATTCTTCGACCATAACACATCTACGCTTGTCAACCGTAATCTCTATGTTTACCGTCAACGGCGAATATGTCTTTTGCTGGGAAGGAGAAACCAAATGAAAAGAAACCATAACTTTAAAGCCTCCGTTTCTGTAGGTACTTATTGTATATGCAAAGGCTCCACCGTACACATAAGTCGATCGTATAAGCCTACGCTTATTTCTTCCTTGAATATTGCAGAGGTTTAGGTTAATTACTTACATCAGGTTGGTACCATCTGTCCGTTACGTAATATTACGTTTACGGTGGATAAAATTTTTACGAACAGTAAAAAAACAAGGCTGACTCTCACACTACCAATCATACCTTGAACCTCAAAACTGTAGAATTGATTTAATAGCAGGATACGGTATCTTTTAAAGATTGGAAATACGTTAATTCAAAATTACATGTCAGTACAATTTATTTCGAATCACCCACTAGACAAAAAGACAGTAGGCCAATGTAAATAACTTGGTAAAGAAAAATGAAATGCAGGTAGGTAAAGACACTTTGGCTATAGCTATAAGTGAGTGTATGTATATGTATGGATATATATAAGCTTTTTACCTAGGGAGACTGTAGCGCGTTTTGCCCTGTCGGTACGGTAAGCAAAGCCCCGGGAACGGGATAGTTCTACATATTTGATGCGATTTTAATGTGTCCTTGCTAGGCTCCTGCCTGCTCACCAGCATCCCTTCGCTTCCATTCGGTGGCAGAGGAGCGAGTGCTGTGATGCCCTAATCGGCTTACGCAACAAACCACCCTTATCCTTCGTCTCTGAGTCTATCCTGCCGAACATCTCTACCCTCGATGGCTGGTACCCATTTTCCAACATCTCCGCAGTCTAAGCGACAGCTATTACTTTGTGGTTTACTTGGATACCTTTCTGAGACATGGTGGAAAATACTTTGCCTTCTTTTGAACCTTGTAGACTGTGACGTGCAACGATGGACTCTTCGACGCATTATGAGCTGAAAGACATACGTGGGTATTTATTGTGAATATGTTATTACGGGTCAAGTCATTTCCTGTGGACATTTTAGAAAGGTTACCAATCCCCTGACTATTTCATTCGATCGAAATCGTTTTACTAACTGAGGTCCTTCACCTTATGCTATAACGGCTTCCTCGATGAGCATTTTAAGTAGGGTTATGTTGTTCCCGATGCTTACTCGGTACCTATGCCCCACCTTTACTGTGTTTACCCAGTGCACGAGAGGCATAAGGTTGCCCTAGGCCAGGATGTGCATTATTGGCTAGAGTTACATTAAACATACACAGCTAGCGTAGTATCGTTCCTCTTTTTCTATGTCGTCGTATCGCTCACCGTGTTTCCATATAATGTTATTCGCAGGGCCGTGATGTAATCGGATGCTTTCGCTCAACGGGAATATATACGTTTTGTAGATGAAATCTTAACAGGGAATCCTACATTTTAATTATTAAAAATTTCTCAGTTAGGGATTCATTATTTTAAATAGACTGGATTACTGTTACTGAGCTTTGTGTACTTGGTTCTAAATGGCTTGAGTAATACGATATATTGACAAAGCGGTACCTTCTGATCTTCTGTTTTACACCAGGTGGGTTACTTAACATTTTGTCATTGTCTAATTCGTACTAGACAGTCGAACAGGAACTAGTTTCCATTTTCAGGTGAATGACCCTTGGCTACATTTTTCTTTAGGGTTGCATGATTTTTTTTAAGGGTGTTCAATTTATTATTTAATTCTGTCTGTACGTTATTCTACGATTTTTTAGCGAACCTGGGAAAAGATATAATTTCCGATGTACGGTAGGAGTGTACTACTGGAAAGGCGTGTGTCAGACGATGTAGTGTAAGTAGTAATTAGCAGGTTTAAACAAATTTCAAAGGAGTGAAATGTAGTGATAGAAGTCTTAATTATGGAACGATCGAATTACAATGGAATTTAGAAGCGGGATAATAAAAATGTTACAATACGCGTGTATCATTGCAAAAGATATCTCTTTTATTTACATCCTTGAATAAATGGTCTACAATAATAATTATATTTTTTATATTTACTATATTTAAAAAATTAGACTTTCTTACATGCGCGTTATTTATAAAAATAGTTTCTTTCCCTTTGACGTCGATGCTTCGATTTTCTTTTTTTTCGCAGTTCTGGGTGTTACTCCTGCGTTGGATTTTCTTTTACGAGTCTGTAACTAATGAAATTGATTAACATATTATAGTGCAACATGAGAAATACTTGATATAGTTATCCTAGACGTACGTTATTATCTGAGATATTTTCGTCGGTCGTTTCTTGATTTTCTTCATCGTTTTTGATTGCTGGACTCACGTGCGCAAATACAAAATTTCTACTATTTTTGGCACCGCAAATTGTTGTCTCTGTATTTTGATTTACCATTGCAGCCAAACGCGCTAACGATTCTTCTCCTCTGGCTAGGAAAGAGCCACGCTTCACTGCAGTCTGTAAATACGAATTATATAGTTCTCGTTCCAAATTAAAAATCGAAGGGTCTTGAATACTTGATAAACTGTAGGCTTACTCGTAATATCGAAGACTTTGCCCCAATCGTAGGACTATCTAACAAATCCAAAATAGTACGTGGCATTATTGGGTCTGTTGACTTAGACAGCCCATTTGAACTATCTTGACTCCCGCTTTGAACGCATTTGCGTTTTTGTAATGCCTTCATACCTAATTTAAAAAACTGACTGCTTCCCATATCCTCCTCAATATCATCCTTTATCTCGCCTGATTTCTATATCAAAATAAATAGTTCGTTCAATAATGAATTATATTAATAATGTAATAAAAAATCAATTTACTGTATCGATATAAATACCTTTTTCTCCTCTAAAAACTTTTCTCTTTCAAGTCGTAGTTTACGCCATTGTAATTCGTTCTCCTCCTCTGTAATTTCTAATGTTGCATCAGCGTTATCGCCTAATGGATTATTGACGTCCTCTCCAAAGTTATCTAATTACAAAATGATTATTTAATATCATTGATGATCGTAATTATCGATAATAGTTGGATTATAGGAAATAATAAAAATTTCCAATATCAATAAATTACCCATATTCTTCCATCTAAATTTTCTTTCGCGACCAGCGCCATCAGTATACAAGTCACCATCTTCAAAAAGTAATTCTTTGATCATCCTAACGTTTCTCTGATCATCATCTAGTACCTGTCTCATGTGAATTCTTCCCAATTGATCTTTCATTTGATTTTCATCAATCTCCTCATTGTCACCCTCTTCGTACTCAAGCTTATCCAAATCTTTTTCATCCTCATCTGCGGAACCCCATTCACTCTCGCTCAACTCTGCTTCATTCTCCAGAAATGTTGCTGCGACTTTCTTTATTTCTTTCTTTGGTACGACCACGATTTCATTCTCTTCTGAGTCGTAATCAATATATTTCTCTTCGTTTTCGAGCTCGCAATTTTCCTCTTGCTCCTCCTCATCTTCGTCCACTTCGGTTAAACGCTCAGCGTCACTATCTTCTTCGTCAGACAATTCTAATTTCTTCACCTTCTTCTTCGTTAGCTTCTTCTTCTTAACTATTTCATCATTAGTATCTCTAAGAATCTCCTCTTCCTCATCGGTAGAAACGACTCTCAGTGCTGTCCAAGGAGTCTCGGACTTCTTATTCTTAATGGGACTCTTCACAGATAACTGAGAATTCTTTTCCAATGTCAGTCTTGTACTCTCAGATGAATCTTCCTCAATGTCAACACGAGAATTCTCTTCCTGGTTCTCCTGTGATTGCTGCGTAGAAAAAGATCCTGAGAAAATATTCAATAATTGCACTTCTGAAGATTTTGTCTGCATAGAAGAATCTAATAAAGCAGATAGATCTTTTTCAATGTTTTCTGTTGCAGTAAATCTTCCTGAACACACTTCCATTAGTTCTTCATCTTTAACTAATTCTGTATCCTCTTCAAATAACTTTTTCTGCGGGCCAATACGTTTATCCAAACTACGATCGCCTAAGCTTTTAATTACTGGTGTTTTCTCTGTAGACGGCAGATCAGTAATTGGTAGAGAGTAAACATCATTGGTTGGAGTTTGTTTCTTGGCAGATTCCATATGAGTATTCAAAGCTGTCAATTGTGTTATCGGAGAGACAAAACTGAGGCAATTTGTTGTAACCAATGGTGTTTGGCACGCTTGACTTCTTATATCACTTGTGTTATTGCGTGGTTGAAAAGCAGGAAGTTCATCCTCTTCGTCACTTATCCAGTCATTATTACCATCTGTGTCAAACATATCTATGTCGGTTTTAGTTCTAGTAAAAGAAGGTTTTTCAGTGTTAACGGTCTTATCGTCAGATTGTGTTGATTCATTTGAATTTTCATCAAACGCCTTTACAATTCTCTTTCGTTTTCTTGCTTCATGCAAACCATCTTCCTTTGTATCATCTTCATCGTCATCATCATCCTCATCTTCATCTTGCTCCTGTTCTTCCTGGTCCTCCTCATGCTCATCTTCTTCTTCATCGTAATCAATTTCTTTCTCTTCGTTATTAACATTTCTTTCCTTCTCACAGTATTCGTCTTCATCATCATCATCATCCCCAGTTTTTTGTATGTCCTCCTCATCACTAACTTCTGCTTCGTTATCCAAAAAAGGACAGTTTTTCTTTTGTTTGTTTTCCCTAAGAGGCATATCATCTTCTTCCGGTTCACTTTCCCCACTGCCACTAAGTTCTTCTATCTCTTCTTCTAGTTCCTCGTCGTCCATTCCGCAAGTACTTTTCTCATCACCATACAGTTCCTTTTCCAACGTCTTCATTTCCTGTTCCTTCTGTTCCCATTCTTCAGTACGTTTAGTAAACATTTTCTGTTTCAGTTCTTCCCTTAGACGTACATGTTTTGCCCCAGGTTTATTCAGTTCTGAATCATTCTTTTCACCCTCTATTTTGTACGGGATAACTTGCTTTGTTGCGGTTACGCCATCAGCAGTGATCTCCGTATGTATCACAGTTACGTCTGTAACAGTTTCAGCTTTGTTTATAATAGCAGTGTGTTTTAAAAATCTATTCATCAAATTATTTACACCTTCTTTACTTGGCTTGACATCCTGCGAGAAGTCAATGACCATTCCTGAGATTCCTCTCAACGTAGGCCTAACATTTGGGACATTTGGCAATATTTTTTTCTTTATAGCACTTGGTTTTTCTATTGGTATATCATCTTCAAATTCAGGGAACGGTAATCCATATACGTGACCAATAGGTGTTGATAATTCAGTTTCCTCCATCTTAGATGAATCTGATTTATCAACTTGATTAATTACTGAACTTGTGCTTATATTATCTTTCTTATTTAATTTAGCCAATTCTTTATTACTTATAAATGGCGTTTCGGAAATCGTATTGTTCGCAGGTAATGATTCCTTATCTTTGACATGTTGTTGCTCGTCAGGTTCAACAATTTTAACATCATCTTTTGCCATTTCTAATAGAATATCGTCATCTGCTTCCACCAAATTATCTGTCTCTTTTAGAGTGTTTTCTTTAACATTACTCTTATTAATTTCGTCTTCCAGCGATTTTATTAATGTATCGATTGTGTCCGACTGACCGTCGTCATTATTTCGATTTTGTAATGTATCAGGCGTATTTGATTCCTGTATGTCTTTCCTCTTTGTATTGGAGTCAGTGTCATCCTGATAATCATTCCCAAATAATTGTCTTGGAACACTGACTTCCTTTAACCCATGTTTATATTCCTTAACAGGCTTTTGAATATTTTCCTCCTGCTCTTCTGTCTCAACATTCTCCTGCTCATTTATTTCTTCCGAGTCTAGGCCAAACAATTTCCGTGGAACTCCAAGTTCATAAGTCCCTTGTCGAATTATTTCTTTCTTATTGTGAGCGTTCTGTACGTTGCCGTTCATCATTTTTTGCGTTTCCTCGATATCTGTACTATCTGCGTTGTTTGAAACTGTTGTGAGATCATTTGTAACATTAATATGTACAGGCGTTTCTTTTGGTAATTCTTTATCATTTGTTTCTTCTTCTGAATCAGAAGATTTGTAAAAGAGTTCTGCCTCTTTTTCCTTCTCTTTCAGAACTTGGCTGTACAAAACAAAAATAAAAGATTACGCTAACATAAAATAATGTAAAAACATAAATTGTTAATTGTAACAGGTTCAACAACGAATTAAAATAAATATTTTGAAGGTTTAATGAATTTCAATGAATTAAGGAATACAATAGTTTGTTTACCTCACTATATTTGAAGACATTCTGACTTTAGCAGCAGTAGTTGGTGCTTTGGGGAGGGTAGAAACAAGTTTTCTTCTGTTTAGAAACTCTTGTAAAGTCCTTTGTTTAGGTCTATGATAAGGTAAAGAAACATTTGACTCTCGTACAAGCCGTTGACTTTCGCTCCTTATTTGTCTCATTGCTTCTTCCTTCGATGACCTTGCAGTTTGCTGTATTAAAATATTATTTCAATAATATAAAATTTCAAGCGCCCATAAATGTGTATTTTATTTATTATTTACACATGTAATACCGTTCTCTTTTTAGTTGCCTTTTTCAGTATCTGCTCAGCAGATTTTTGATCATTGTGATCTTCTTCAGCGAAGTCATTTCGAGTATTCTGATTATTATCGTCATCAGAATCAGAATCTATTAAGTCATTGATCTTATTTCCATTTGGCTACAAATAATTTGTTAAATATATCAATTCCTACCATAATTGTACTTAGATTATGAAAGCTAGAATTGGAAAAATGTATTTCTAGTTACCTTTGACTTTTGTACTGATTTGTCTGAATCAGAATTACTTGTAATGCTGTGGTTCTCATCATCACCATCATTTTTAATACCAGAAGGTTCGTCCGCGTCAGAATCACTGTCCAGAATTCTCCGACTTTTACTATAGGAAACTTTTGTATATTTCAATGGATTTGTACCAATAGTTGCACCAGGATTAAAATCATCTTTTGGAGTATTATCCTTCTGTTGAAACAACGATGAGAAGTCCTCATCCTCCGATTCACTGTCTACAATGCTTAACATGTTTTTGTGTATTGATTTTTGTATGTCATCATCCCCATCATCAGGAATCACGTCTTCGCTGTTCATTGATATAAGTTCACCGATATCTTCCTCAGTTTTACTAATATGATTATTTCCACATATGGAATCTATTAATACAGTTTCTTCACTGACCCTCTTTGCATTTTCTAACTTGTTATCTGTCATTTCAAATGTTGTTTCATTCTTATTATTCTCCAAGACATTTGTTAATATCTGTATACTATCATTCTTATCCTGATTCTTGGAATTATCAATTTCATTCTCCTTTGAGTTGTCCTTAGACAGCATGTCTGATTCATTATTGAATGGATTTGTTATGATGCTATTACTGTCAGTGACATTCATTGTATCACTTTTATTAATTTCACTAGTTTGAATAATCGCTGTTTCAACAATAGTCGTCATTTTTCCCGCAAAATTATTATTATTTACACAAAATGCAATTGCGCTCCAAATTCATTACTGCCACAGTACCTACTTTTTTGACAGCCACAGCTCTTGATTCCGCGCCAAAAACGTATATTATTCCGGGATTCAAGATACAGAAGGAAATGTAAGGGGTAATTCACATGTTGTGGATCATTGGAAAAAGTAATAAATTTTGGGAAATGTGAAGATGCCATTGGTTTACAAAATTTACCAACTGATCTTATAGCCAATAGTCTATTCACATTGAATACTATTGGTTAATACCGAATATTAGCTGAATCGGAGACACATTTGTCAGGCTTACCAATAGATTCTGAGGCGAATTTTAATTCTAGTAATTTTCATTATGTTCATTGTTCCACAATTATTAAACAAACTTATTCATGTGTATTTGAACGCATCGATAGATTGTGTATGAAAAGTGAAAGCTATATTGCAAAAGAGCACTGATTTTCCTTCAGCAAATATTCCACATTAAAAATTCATAGTCAATATGACGAAAGGTATTTCTAAAAGATATTTTTTGCAGTTTTGTCGGCAAATTAGGTTATATTAAATTATGCTCTAAACCAATTTTGTATTCAATAATTTACTTCTATTACGTTTTCAATATTTATATAAATTTATGATCGTTAGGTTTTTGAACACTAAAGTAGAATATACTGTTTTTTAATGTCTTGAATATTATTGATTCTCCCATGTATTTAAAGAATTATTATATTACTTAACTTTAATTTGTAATAAGTAGTGGGTGATGCAGGCTTTACTATTGTCCATACTATTTCAGAAGAAAATATGGGGAAGAAGTCGGGAGAACATCTTGACACTGATAAAAAAGCATCATCCGATGCTGGACCAGACCCCTCTGCTCCAATTACAAGAAAAGGAGTCTTAACATCATTCTTAACTGGCAAACCTATGGAAATACCAGAACAAGATATTGTAATTCAAAGCTAGATATTATTTTGTATTGTTAAATATGCTTAGTATTTATCAAAGTGATAATTTTGACATTTTCTCTACAGCTCGGTAAATGCAGATTTGTATCGGAATTTGAAAAACTTAATCGCATTGGAGAAGGCACCTATGGAATTGTGTACCGAGCAAGAGACACTAAAACTGACAAAGTTGTAGCTTTAAAAAAAGTTCGTATGGAGCATGAAAAGGATGGTTTGCCAGTAAGCGGCCTTAGAGAAATTAGCGTACTTCTATCATGCCGTCATGAAAATATAGTACACTTGAAAGAAGTAGTCGTAGGACGAAGTTTGGAAAGTATATTTCTTGCAATGGAATACTGTGAACAAGACTTAGCCAGCTTATTGGATAATATGCAATCACCCTTCTCTGAGAGTCAAGTGAAATGCATCGTTCTACAAGTCCTTAAGGGTTTACATTATTTACATCATAATTTCATTGTACACAGAGATTTGAAAGTATCAAATCTCTTAATGACAGATAAGGGTTGCGTAAAAATCGCAGACTTTGGTTTGGCAAGATGGTTCGGGTTGCCATTAAAACCAATGACTCCAAGAGTTGTAACTCTGTGGTACAGAGCTCCTGAATTATTACTACAAGCTAAAACGCAAACGACATCAGTTGATATGTGGGCGGCTGGTTGTATTTTAGGTAAGTAAATATAATGATACCCATAAATTTAAATAATCTAGTTCAACGTTTCCTGTAAAAGACCTTTTCATTTCAAATTTCAGGAGAATTATTAGGACACAGACCGCTTTTACCAGGAAGATCTGAAATCGCTCAGCTCGAATTAATTGTAGACTTGTTAGGAACGCCTAGCGAAGCTATTTGGCCAGAATTCAATTCGTTACCTGCGCTACAAAACTTTACATTGAAGCAGCAGCCTTACAACAACTTGAAACAAAGATTTCCATGGCTAAGTGCTGCTGGTTTAAGACTGTTAAACTTCCTCTTCATGTACGATCCGAAAAAACGGGCAACAGCCGAAGAATGTCTTCAAAGTAGCTACTTCAAGGAAGCACCCCTACGTTAGAATCTAAACACTGTTTTTCTTTCTGCCTGAGATGTATCTTGAAAATTGACTGACACAATTATTTTTCTTTATAGCATGCGATCCGAAATTGATGCCAACATTCCCCCAACATAGAAACATGAAGAAAGCAAGTCAACCAAAAGAAACTCGTGAACAGGAAACTGCTGTTCCAGATCAAACGAGTAATCTTCCAGCAATTTCTGATCTTGTATGTATATACCTTGTTCAAGCTATTACTATAATTCTCATAGTTTACACACAATATCTTCTATCGATTATTTCAGCTTGGATCATTAGTCAAAAAGAGACGTGTGGATTAAGAAGCAATACCAAAACCACTAAGGTAGCTTTCTATATGTGTTTACCTTTCATTAGCATGAAGCGTTATCAAGTATTCAAGAGAATTTCATTAATTCATACCTACAGATATGTGATGTGAATATCCCACATACTACACGATTGTTTAATACCTGTAAAGCGCGCATCATTATAGTAAACTAATTAAGGTTTTTGTATTAAAAAAAAAAGATACCTTCAAGCAAATGAACAATTCAATAATACACGACAATGCCAGTTGTGATTTTTTACATGCCTATCCTAATCGTAATTATCTTCTTTCTTCTTTTTTTGCAAAATAAGAAACATGCATGTTTTACAAGTTTCGTTTATTACGAACATAATTTACAAAATGCAAAGTATTAGAACACAGTATCATCTGTTTCAAAGAAAACATTTAATTTTCATCATCGTACGGTCAATCGCGCCCACTCCTGAGTTTAGACCTTCTTGGCAGCTTCCATCGCGTCAAACCGTTTCTTGTATTCTCCTTGAGGATCATACTTGGTGATGAGACGATCCCAATCTCTCGGTCTTTTTGTGCGAAGGTGATTTATGACTTTCTCAGCAGTGGCTCTTTGTTTTTCATTGCACTTGGTGCACCCAGTCGCTAAAGCATCTGGTAGAGTTTCTAAAATCAAAACCAAACAAATGCATTATCTCTACTAATTGTAAGCAAATCTAGTTACATCCTTGACGAAGTAATCAATTTTCATCTTGCAAAAACAATAAATTCTCCAGATATATATAATGAATAATAACAAATGCACATTAGGAATTTTAACACGATCCGTAGACAATAGCCTGTCTGATTGCCTTACAAAATTTAATTACATGAGATATCCTTATAGGTCCTGCATTGAATTATTTGTATTGTCCTTGTACTCGCTTTTTCACGAGAGTCATCATTGATTAGCTAAACATACGTCATCGTGAACTTCGATATTAAAGATTAATATTGCAATTATTCTACTATATAATCGTAAAAGTTTATATTTATTTAACAAGGAACGAAATGCTGCGTGGCCGCCTAGAGACTGCACAACTTAACCCAGTACAACTCAAGCGAGAAAGTTCAAAGTGGGCCTTATGCAATCAGTGAGAGTATGTTGAACTCTGTTGCAACTGCAGATGCACACAGGCGTAATAAGATAAAAAGGTAGCACTCGAAAGATGAATGAACATAAAACACTATACAATATTCGAAACAACCAATCGAAACAAGAAAAGACAAAACTCATGTAAAACAGAAAAATACATACTTTTCAATTCTCGTCCTTCAGCGGTGCAGGATCCCTCATCCAGCATACAACGAATATAATTAGTAAGGACTCGGCTGTTAGACAAGATCCTCTCAACGTCTATGTCGTCGTATTTGCTTGGATATTTCTCAGCAGCAAAAGCTGCAGTCACCAAAACGAGGAGGATGAGACACGCCTTCATTTTATATTCTCTTCTTATTCCTTCAAAGAAGCTCACCAGTGTTTCAACGATTTAGAAATTTCTTCCTGGGATCCTCCCTTGTTTAGTTACCACAAAAATTCTGTACTTCCACACAGTATAGAATGACTTTCCTTATTGTTTTATTTTTTAACCAATGACTGCACGATATCAAAGAAGAAAGGCTTTCTCAAAAAAAAGAGACTCTCGAAGGACTATGAAGCAAGTGTTCACGGCAAATGTTGAGGGACCAAGTGGCCGTCGTGCAACGCTACCTTTTATATAGTTGAGTATGCACTGGAGGGGTCTCTTTCTATAATGGCTCACGCACATCAGATGCTAAATACACATGGACGTGCAGGCTGTTACAAGAATGCATTGAACCCCCTTCCCTTGTGGTTACTTAAACAAGATTAAACGAAGGAATACCCGCCTTGTGTACTCATCCGGAGCCTACGTTCATTTGGCTGGGATTTTATGAAAATTTAACGTGACTTTGAACCGAAGACGTGTTGAGCGTGAACTAGATTTCCATCTATTATACTATTTGCGCATTGCTGCCTTTGATTCGTACTACGTCAATCAAGGTTTGGTTGTTGTACCAGTATAATTCAGGTGTAAACTTCATATATGCGTTCAATGTATCTGTGACGCTTTTAAAAGCAGTAGCCAAATCATTGTTAAAGAATTCGTGAATTTTCCTTGTTTCTCTTATTCCCTTTCCACTTTTGTAACGCATGTAAACCTTTGGTGCATGTCAAGTGGCAAAGATGCTAATAAAGTTTGCCAATGGCAATAGACGTATACTATCGTATAATTTATTTTGCAGAAAATCAATAGAGCTTCGTTCAGAATGCATTGGTATTTTAACATTTGTCATTTATTGCTTGGTGCATTACCTTTATGAAGTACCATTAGAACGGTTTGGCAGTGTTATTCGTATGCCGGATGCATCGAGGTTTTGACCTACTTTATTCTCTGATTGCATAAGAAGAAACTTGATGCTATATCTGGATCTTCAATTTGATGTTTCGAATCGTCATTCTAAAGTATTAGAAAAATATATTAACTAAAGGTTAAATTCTGTAAAATACTGAGGTGAATTTATTCACTCTTATTTCATTCTTTAGTGTTTTCAGTAATTCTTGAAACTGCTGTGCATTGACCAATGCACATTCAAGTATGGCGCCAGACACTTACCAGGGACTCTTCTTCTAAAGTATCTTCAGCATTAAGAGCACTCTTTTCAATGTTACTCAGAAAGAACTAGAAATACTGCCGAGACTTTTTGAATGAAAAAGTTAATGCATACCTAAAAACCTTTATAGAATGGATAAGCACGAATCGACTTACAGCAAGAAATCAACGAGCGTTCTATTCTTTGAAAATGAAGGCATAGATCAATCGGTTCGATAAACCGGTAAGCGTTCGTGTTTTTCCTTTCTCGTTATTCTGGTAAAAACACGCGTCCTTAATGGGATGTGACGAAATACGAACGTGCGTGAAAGGAGAAAGTAAAGTGAAGAGAAGAAGAACGAAGAGACAAAGACATGGAAATTCAAAATTCAAATTATGGAAAAGTCCATCACATACATTTTTGTTCACACGTACCTGGTATGAACTTATTTAATTTACTATTGTAATTATGCAACGAAGTATTAAATTATTGAAACGTTAAACAAAAATTTATTTTGTCCATTTTACTCAATCCTAATGGCTTCACGTATGCTGGTCCAGATCGATTCGTCTATACGACATCATTCCACTTTATTTATATGAACGAAAGTCTGTAATTAATTTCTTTGACAATTATATCGCTAGAATGTATATAACGAGACACAAAAATTAAAATGAATAACAGTACGATTTATTCTTATTATAAATATAACTTTTCAGTGCTTAATATTTATATCTAAATGCAATTTTCAACCCTGACGTCCAGAAAAACGTTTAAGAATGATGCGCCATTCGTTGGGATAACGTTGTTTCATAAAATCGACCAGTTTCCGAGCATTCTGAGCCTGTTGGGGAGAGCATCGTGAGCACTGATTATTCAGTACTTCCGGTAGCAAAACTGCAAATATAAAATAATCATTAAACCGTCATTAATCAGAATAACGACACTGGAGCAAATTCAAACTTCAGCCGTTAGCAATAAACGGCACTACATTTTTAAGTATTTACATGACAATGTATAAATTACCTTTGATCTGCTGTCCTATTCTATCACACGATCCTTTACCGACTACACAATTAATCTGTTTCTCGACATAATTTCTGTCGTTCAGTAAAAGAGAAATATCCTGTGCCTGGCACAGAGCAAAAACTCCTACGACCACAGCAACCAATAACAGTTGAGTTCTCATTATAATAAAGCGTAGGCAAACACCAGATTGAACTGTGCCCTACTGGTTGAAGTACTTTAAGCGAATGATTACGTTGACGAACTTTATAGTCACGTTATTTAAAATAAATCAACATAATTCAGTAGTCTTGCCTCTTGGGTCAACAGTTCACGCGAGACTGTCTTGTCTTAAGATTTACAACCCCTTATATATGTGACCCTCACTTCCCTGCTACCGTTAATTAGCCTCCAGGTATTTGGAAACACAAGGTAAACTTTCCGATAACTGTATCGCTTGAACTGATATTTTCTTTGAAAGTCTATTTCGTCTGGTGTCCTTGCAGGGAGAGATGTTTAATATTAGATGGGCGTGTGGACAATAGCCGCTCTTACTGAATCTATTAATGACTTTGGATCATTAAAAATATGTTGTGCAGAGACATATATGTATGGCGTATACATACGTGCTGCAAATATTGTTGATGCTATTATAACAAACTCAATGAATCAGGTTGTCCTCGGCTTACAGTTATCGGTATTGTATGTTAAATATTTATTCTCTTGTACTAGGACGTACTAGCTTATTATATTGTGTATAATTCCTTCGATTTGATCGAGTCTTGCAATTGGTCACATATGAAATAAGTGAAGTGATGTTTGATTTGTGTTTCTTTTACACACTACGAAATTATTTCGTTATAGCTTTGATTTACACATATTTCTAGCAAATGAAAAACAATTGTGTTGTAATATTCACTGCGGCGATTTATTACTGAAAAATATTGCAGTGTCTTTAGAAACTATTTAACTCTATCTTAGGTAATAATGACAATGACCATTCGACAGAAACAATTCAAGGACAATTTATATAGAATACTCTAAAAATTTGTTGAGATAAAAATAGTTCTCTTTTACGTAGGAGGATTTATTAATATAAATTTTGACATCATTGCATAAACTTTGTTCCTTGTGCTTACGTTTTTTTATAAATTCATAAGATTCCCACTAGTTGCTTTCTTCGCGCCTAAATGGATGATGGCGTTGTGTGACACAAACGAGCACAAACGTCAAAACTTCATAAATTAACATTCGATAAAGCATAACAAAACTGTGGATGGAATCATAACTTTTGAGTAAGGAGTAATATTTCAATTGTAATGAGATTAACGTAGTTGTGACCATGATATTTTGTAATATGAATCAAATGGTTGAAATAGAATTTAAGTTTGCATGTTTTTCTTAGAGAATCAGTTTTTGTTTGAAATTTGTAAAGTATTTGACGATTATTCGGCGTATTAATTATCTATAAATTTCTTAGAACTATTCAGGTCGTATAAATTATCCTTTAATTATTTGAGAAGGGAAATAAATACTCATATAACCTTTCTTAATTACTGGTTAAAAGATTCCTATATTTCAATATATTCTTCCATTGGTTTTTACAGGTTTTACACTCAAAAAGTATCTAAAATAATAGTGTATGTAAGCTGTGGTAGTTGAAATGAATTTATTACCTATGGCTCAGTTTTGTATTGGTTTGAATCAGTTTGAATAAACTGATAATATTGAAAAATATTGTATCATCAAGACAAATTGAGACAATACTTTATTGATTATAGTTAATCTTGTAATTATTGAATTGAAATCAGACAAAGTAATTGACATTTGTGAAAACATGGATTTGTCAAATAAAGATAATATGAATGGAAAACATAGGCAGAATAAACGCAGTGACCAAGAGTCTTCAGATGAATACAACGTTTCATTTTCATTTAACATTGACTTAGATGTTATTCATAATGATGTATCTTCTGACTCTGAGACAGCAGAGTTACAAATAGATGTGTCTGAAGTTGATAATTATGAGATACCAAACAAACTCAAGAGGGATACAATTGATGAACCTTCTGTTATCAATGAAATGGAAGAAGAAATTGAAAGGCAGTTAGATGCAAAAGCTGCAAAGACTAATTTGACTGCTACAAACGTGAAAAATATTTTGAAACATGTTATCACTAATGAACATGTAATGGCTATGGTTAAAAAAAAGTTGCAAAATACAGATGATGATATTATGTTTGTGCCAAAACTTACGCGAGCTAAAGCCAAGTACGTACCCCTTAAGTAATATTAATCCCAACATTCTTTTGTAAAGATATTAAATTCTTAAGATTATTGTGTTCCAACAGAGAATTGGCAATGTCACAGCCAAATATACCATGGCCTATTACACCAGCTAAGAAGACAAATATATCAGAGGTGCAAGTTTTAATTGAAAAAGAATTATCTGAAGATTCATCAGATGAGGAATATAAACCTGATCAGGATCAGCAAAGCGACGATGAAAGAGAAACTGAAAATTCGATTGGTAGTGATTTGGATTCTCAACCAGCTACACCAGCTGCTCATGTACATTTATCTCCTACACCAGAAGAATTGAAAACACTTGACATCCAATATGATTCTGATGGAATTTTTAAGATCCCTGGGTAAATACAGTTAACAATAATGTTTAAGGTGGTTCGATCATTGCAACAATGATTTTTTTACTTAAAAATCCTGGAATATTTTCTCAGTTGTTTTCTGCATTATTTAAACAATATATAATATGAAAATTGTTTAAATGATGAATCTCTGTCCAAGTAAATTTTTGTTTAAATACGTTTTTCGTTTTCAGAGTTCCTCATGTTCCTACAGAAGAAGAAAGTATTGGTCAGAGAACTCGATCCAAACTCTGTTTAAGTGAAACTCCATTAGAACAAATTGAACAAGCATTTGTTCCACCTGACATTACAACAGATATGTATGATTGGGACTGTGAGATCGATGAAGATTGGGATAATTTCCTCAAAGAATTCACTCAACCACTTACACAAGAACCTATAGTTGAAGACGATCCTGAGGCAGACCCTGAGTACAATATTTTGGATGATGAAGAATCTGATTTACGTGAGCAAAAAAAAATAAAAAAATTATGGACAATTTCCGATAGCAATGTATTTTAAATTATTTTCGATTATATTTACAGTGGATAAAGAGGAGCTTCGAATTGACAAAGCTGTAAAAGTTACCCGAAAAGAATTGAATAATTTAGTGGCTGAACTATTTGAATTTGCGGATATGTTCTCAAAAAAGGAACAGGATGTACCAAAAAAGAAGAAATTGAATGATTGTTCTAGTACTTCAGTGGGAAATATTGCATCAGTAAGAAACAGAAATTTGTCCTATACCATTTTTAGTTACATTTGACTGATTCGTCACAAGTAATAATTTCATGCGATTATAGGATGTGTCAATGACAGAACTTCTGCCTACTGTACCAGAGTCGGAATTACCAAAGTTAGTGAATACCGAACAGCGTCATTTACTAGCTATACAATTTCAACAACATGTTCAATTTATGGCACAGCATTTTGTTATGACATATATGCATCCTGATTTAGATGCTCATGCGAAAACATGTAAAGATAACTTGAACAGTATTAGGTAATACTCATCTATTGAAGTACTGAAAATTACTACGCAATAGAATACCTATAATAACAACTTTTCATTATTGAATAGATATTTAGGTAACGGACCCAACTCTGCGTTTAACGTGAGAAACTTATCAGAAGCTCTAAAGCTGGTTTCAGATTGGGAAGCAAAATTCATAGATCACAAATTCAAAGAGGAGTATACAACTATGGTGATAGAAGAGTCTGCATTAACACAAATAAGTTTGGAAAATAGCCGCAAATATGTTCCAAAGTTTCATCCAGAATTGAAAAAACTATTTGTCGAATCTAAAGCACTAATGCATCCGCAGTTATTACCTCATATCCCTTTTAGAAAGGAGCATAAGATACGTTTAAAATCATTATATGTCAAGCCAGAAGAAAGGTGAGTAGAAGATTAAATAATATTTAACTTTCGATTTTAATTAAACAACTATACTAATTTATTTACGATTGCTTGGTGCTTTATTTTCTCAGCTTAATTGCATTAGGTTTGGAACAGTTCATGCCGCTGGTATCCTCTAAAACTAGCAAATTTAAAAACAAAAAATTTGATCTTATCGATTCAATATGGCTTATTATCGAGTATCTGTTACCAGGAAGACAGTTAGATTCCCTAAATAATTATATTAAGAAAAAACGTCAAAATTCCCAATCAAATCCTATTAAGGTATGTTTTTTAGTTAAAGCATTGAAATTTTCATGAGAATTCACTTTTTAATTTTTTTTCTAGCATTATTTTTTATTAGGGGCTGCTCCTAGAACGATACATTACATTATGATAGATTGCGATTTGAAAGCACCTAAAGAACAATCGATTAGTCTATTACCAACGCCATGGCAAAACTATCTTAATGGAGTAAGTTATTATACATGAGTAAATGCATCACAAATATTTCACTATATTGTATTACTTTTTATATTAGGTAGAACAACCAGAACTTTATACACCGTCCAGACGGAAACAATTATTGGATACTTATTTTGGGGTTATTGCAAAGGAGAAGAATAATTTGATTGAACCGATCGATAATCACATTTCTATTGATCAAAATTTGCGTAATGTCGTCGTAAACATGTTACCAAATATGCCACCTCTTAACACCGCTCCTAAACCTAAATCTCAAACCAAAAAGAATACAGCTAGCGCATCCAGATCTACTGAAAATGATCAATCAAACCCAAACGTTGAGGATCCAGCGTTGAATTTAAACATAGATCAGCATGTAACAAGTACAGAGTCTGCGTCTTGTACTCACAGTTTACAAAAACTGAATTTGTCAAGGACTGCAGGAAAAATGATGATGCCTAACGAACTGCATAGTATAAAGAATGTTGATGCTTCCTCAGATAACAGCTCACTTTGCAGTTCTAAGAAGCTTGAGGAAACTAGTGATAACAGTAGATCACCAGGATTAAGAAAGACTACTCCTCGCCTGGCGAAGATTCGCAGTGCGCAAAATATGAAGTTGATGGCTCAGGTCTTAGGATCAAAGAATTTGTCTATGAACTGTGGTGGAATAAAAGCTAAAGGAAAAGGTGACTCGCAGAAGATCCTGGAGCAGCCATCTACATCGGCAAAAGGAGTAAGTTTGTTTTTCATTTTTTTTTAAATATATGAACGGTGCGTCAGATTAAAGAATAATTGGTACTTCGCCTAACAGGATAACGAAGATGAGATTGCAGAATTGATGTTAGCAAGTACAACAATAAAGAAAGATACAACTAGTAGGAAAAGAGCTAAACAAGCTCGAGAATTGGAAAATATAAAAAGATTATGCGAAGCGGATAATGATTTGAGTCATGAAGAAAGAGCGACAAGTAAGTTGATGTAGTATTGTGCTTCAGATCTAATTATCAAGAATAAATCATTCTTTTTCTTATGTAATATTTTATTTGATAGAATTTGCAGCATCCTATCTTCAAAAATTACATATGACACTAGAAGCCAGTAATCCAGAAACTTTTAAGGCAGTGATTAAATCCTATTTAGAATATAATGAAAAAATTGAAAACCTTTCCCAATTGGAGACCGATGAAATGTCTCAAGTAGGATCTAAAAATTCTCAATGCAGTAACTTCTCGAGTGATGACAAGAGAACTACTGCGCTATCATTACATGACGGTAAAGAAACTGCAGAAGGAACCATGAATACAAAGGACATGCTAGCCATTAACCTCTACAAAGATGTTTGCGAGAAGCTTCAAGATTACCCGGAAATGTGTACGGATTTTCTACTTTTTTTGAAGCCCCATCAAGCTGCCATGATTGGAAAGTCCGTTGAGCATACGATGCTACAGAAAATGAGGGAATTTATAAATGTAGCACAAACATATTTTGCAAAACAACCATCAAGACTTTCAAAAGTCATGCAAGCTATTACACAATTAGCTTCGGATCCCTATGTAACCCTAAAAAAAGCCCATGCAATTATGGGCCCTGTGCTTAAGGGTCATTCACTTGTTATGGATATGTTTCTGCAAGTACTACCAAGCGGAAAACCACCAGAAAGGTAATTAACACACGTGTAGACTAATAGTACTTCTATTAACTTGATACTAAATTTGTGTAAACTTTAATTTTTCGATAGTTTATTTGCACCAGACATGTTTGAGAATTTAACATGTCCACTGGGTCCCCATGACAAAACCAAAGTATATTCTGAAGATGCTCCTGAATTATATGAAAACATAGAAATACCTATATCAATATCTCAGGAAGAACGGTACGGGGGTGAAAATTGTAAATGTGAATGTCATAACTTGGACGACCCCAATCTTAAGGCTAGAAGTGAACATTGCGCGTCTTGCGGTACAAGGGTAAGATTTTATTTCTACATATGACCAAATAATTTCGTAATAATTATTTTTAATTTGTTTTAGTTTCTCAATGGAAGAATATATCTCCAAACGTCAGAAGGTCTGAGACCAGCAAAAATTACATTTCCTGGCACCGACGAGGAGAAGCTTGAAAATATAGCACGGATATCTTTAAAAGGAAACGAAAGATTCATTCCTGTCCCACCGACAAGAAGAAGAAGAAAATCTTCAAAGAATGATCAAGAGGAATCAAATCAAAAGCAATTATCCTCTAAGGGTTCGCCAACTAAAGATAGCGAGGACTGCGATAAAGCAATAGCCAAATCGAGAAGAGGTGGGAAGTCACCACCTAAATCAGCCGACCAAAAGAAGTTTCCGAAAAATATAGAAATGAGATCGCAATTTAAGGACTTTTCTTCAACTGCTAAGAAACGGCCAACCTCACCCGCGAAAACAAAGCGCGAAGAAAGGGCTGAGAAACGTGAGGCAAAATCTGAGATGAATAATTGGTTAAACATTGAAAATAAAGATGCTGGAAAGCAATTATCAGACTACAATGATTATTCAGACTCAATTTCAAAGTGCAAACGTCGCACAAACAGTGTATCAGAATATAATTCAGGAGGTAAGTCATTACGCTGCCAGAAAAATAATATAATACTACACTGTATATATATTTAGATTTTAATGTTTATGACGAATAGTTACAGATTCTGAGGCACAGGAGATGGTTATTGATCACGAAGAGACTGAGACTAATATAAGTCTCGAAAAAATGGACGTCTCTAGCGATTCAGAAGGCGATACATTAATACAGGAAGAAAATATTGTCAATGCGAGACCCTGGACAAGACAAGAAGATATGATTCTTTTACAAAGTGTCAAGAAAGAATATTCTGAGAATACGTTTCTCAATGTCAGTGAAACTTTGGGAGACAGAACTGTTCAGCAGGTATTCATTTCAGTGCAGCTTAGTAATCCAACATATTATACATTTAAACAATGCTTTAGGTAAAGGAGCGATGTCACGTATTACTTTCGCTGCTACAAAAGATGTCATAAGAATTTCACACCTTTAGTTTTACGTTTGCTGGTAAGTACATTCACGAAAAGTGTCTACGTTTTTATAGTCGGTAAAGAAAAACATAACATAACTGTATATTACAAAAATGTTCGTTTATTCAATATAATATTACTCTATTAACTTATTCGTACTTAAGACTTTGATGTTGCATTTGTTCGTAACAATTTCTCAGATTTCCTATACGTGATGTTGTTTTTGTAAACACCTGCCAGCTAATACCTAAATAAAATATAAAACTCTCGCACACATTCTGAAGTTCGATAAAAATTGTTACGACATAGTACAATTGGTAAGATTACATTGTATAAAACACTGTTTACAACACTGAAGGCTAACTTAATCTAGATCATACGTATGCCCATTGATAGTTACTTAAAAGTCTGTGAAAAAGAAGCTTTACTAAAGGGTAGTACGTCCCTTAGGTAACAATTCACAACAAATATATGTATCACTTAATATGAAATTTTCTACCGTAAACGTAATAACTGGCTAATGAATTTTAATGAAATTACAAACAAAGTGTCGTATTACGAACTACAAAAATTATTTTAACAATAAAAGAAAAAACAGTTTTATCTCTGACCAAATGTGAAAACGTTATTGCGCTCCAGTCTTAACTCTTCGGCACATCCATTACAGTCTATTTCATAAATTTATGATCCGAATCACATGTCAAGTGAGGAGGTTACGTATTGAATAAATTCTTTATAGGATGCTGAATTGTCCTTAGTCATAAATTTGTGAAATGACTTGTCCTGTTCTTACAAGATAAACTTTTCCCAGTGTCAACTCTTAATATGGGTCATTATAATACAGTTTCAGCTAGGAGACTGCTAGTAGGTTTATAACTTTTTTCTCTGATAAAGTTATTGATTTAATCTTCGTACAGTTAGTTTATAATATACGAAAATTCTGTATCCAAACGATTATTATACAAAAATCCAAATGCTTAAGGGTGCGTCTTATATTTGATCAGATAATTAATTACTCATTTACAACGTACATATCTCATGTTATGGTTATAGCATGAATCATAGTCTTAGCCGTGTCTCAATTCAGAAGTATCGACTAGCTTACTTGCTCTGTCTACCTACACTTCTGTGCCTACCCTCATTCTTCATCCTTTAAGATCTATAAAATTAAGGCTTTAAGATATTAATAGCACAAGAGCATTGTCTATCTCGAGTATAAAAATCTATAGGATGAAAAACTATTAAAATTTCACTGTACCGCAGACAGTGAATTATCAGAGCATGTAAGGGATTAATTTGTTCGAGCCTTAGATGAATCAGGCCGGTTTAACTATGTAGCAAGTACATTATAGTTAAAAAAAAGCCAAGTATACACAAAGTGCTATTAATTCAAATTGAGACATGGCTTATTCTATAAAATTACAAATAAAGGTAGAGAGTGAATTGTATCTTCACAATCTACACTGACTCTATGATCATTCTTCCAAAATTAAGAGTATATACTTTATACGTTTATAAAAAAAAGACGCACTGATGCAATTCTTTGGCAACAATTGCACTGCAGTCTCCTATTGAGTGGGAATTCGATGAGGGAGGTTCTGTACAGAATATTAATTCTAGAATATTTTATAAACGACTGTTTGATTTATAATTTTCAATGTTTCATATATTGTATCCAAATTTTATGTACATAAAGTGATTATTTTCTGTAGTCGATCTTGTTAAAGGTATGTTTTCCATATTTTTGTCTGCCACCTGACCGCGTTTCATACTTTGCCTGTTATTCACTCCTGTACACACTTAGTCACAAGTACACTCATAGTTACAAATCGTTATTTCACAAGATCGTGTGGGTTGTCATAAAAAAATAACTGACCGAGCTTCGTGCTATGTACTTTAGATATATATTACATACGTATTATACGCCTAATGAAAATTTACGCTAGTCAAATGGACGTATTTTTTCAAGTAAAATACGTCTTCCAGCTATGAATACGATGAAATGATATTTGAACTATACAAATCTGTACGCACATAAAAAATATACTAATCGTGCAACTTGTTCATTCAGTTGTTTCTCTTTTTTAAATTTTCTTTATATTTTTTTTACAAATCGAAGACAAGACCGGTGCGGCGAGAAATCTTATTAAAATGTTCAGAACAATTCCATGCTGTCAACATCGACGCCGATATCAAGAAAGTCATTTGAGTAATCTTGCACTTGCCTTTGCGTCGTGAGATGTTCGGAATGATCGGGGTCGTCTGTTACAGGACTTGGCGGAGGATTGGATACTGTACGATCAGAATGCAAGGGCGTTCTGTCCATACCCTCGCCACGTCTCAAACGCGCTTCTTCTGCGATCTGTCGTGTTGAAAGTTCTGCACGCGTTAATAATGCCGGTAGGTCCTTCTCGGAGCCATCTGTAATAAATTTGGAATAGTTGAATTTTACCGATTGAAATTTTCGAGACTAATTGATGTGATCTAATTATGGAGATAATATGCGAATATGCTTACTTTCAAGGCTTCTCATTAATTCTTGCGTTTTCTGTCGTCTTGCACATGCGTCTGCTTTCTTTTGCAGTTCCGCATGCTCCTTTTTGTCCATGTAAAATATTTCCCGTATCTTTTCCTGAGGGATGTGCTCGTCATTCTTTACTAACCATAGGTAGACTCCTCCGGCTGTTCTTCTACGTGAACCATTCATGATCAGCATACCACCATCCTCTTCAATTTTCTTTGTTTTTTGAAAAAAGTCTATGGCTTTTTCTTTTCCTATTATATCAACTACCCTTCCTGTAACAAGAACGTATTGATCTATTTAGGATTTGTTTTAGTTTTATGTAACTGGAACAGGATATTTTTATTAAAGGCAAACTTACTTATGAGAAGATCCTTATTCTCATTGAGTTTTGCTGTTATGTCTATTGCAACCTCTGAATCTGTTGATTCTGCTGTTATACTCAAATCAGATATCATTCTGACAGAACCTTTTTGTCCATCCACTTCCATTGAGTTTCTTCTTTTACCTAATCTTAATTTGATGTTTCGCCTGTCAGAATTTGTTCTTTTGTTTGTTAGCCGCTGCTCCACTTCTCTTTCATCATCGGAACTATTATTGGTCGAAGCTTCTGTGCCATTCAACGTATTTCGTAGAGTAAAGTCATAATTTTCAACACTGCGTCCTTGACAAATTCTTTTGGTAACTCCGCAGGACACTAAGTTTTCTGTTAATGCTTCTTCTTGCACTTGTGTACACCATACTTTATATTTGTCATTCCGTGACCTCCAATATTGTGATTTAGTTTTGCATCGCTTTATTTTGATTTTTGGCCTCTTTGCTCTTGTGTGTGCTGAATCCGAATCAGAATCGCTTTCTGATTCTGTGGTTTCATCTGATTCATCGCTGTAGCCCATCTTTGATGTTTCCTCCACCGGTGGAGCATTATGAGGTCTTTGTAAAACGTTGTATGTGTTGAAGTCATCGATAGTCTGCATTAAAATATATATAAAAGCTATAATTAATAATATATACCAACAAAATGAATTACACATTTTTCATTATAGCAGAATTCATCATTGACGTTTTCTCTGTGAAAATAAAAGAGAAAAAGCAAAATGAAATAAAACTTTAAGAACTTATTGAAAAACTATCTTCAATGTAACTTGTTGCAACAAAGACTTGTTAGTGTTTAAAAATATTTTATAATAAACTGCCAATAAAATTCATAAAAAATAAGTTACACCTCATAAATGCATATTTGAATATATTCAAAGTAATAAACTATTTCAATATATATGAAAAAATTTGATCATGCACGGTTTAATGCAGGTAGGTTAGCCTTCTGTCAAACGTGAATTAGAGAGTATCTGACCTCGTCGTCCACAACTTCCCCATCCTCGAGCTCCAAGGGCTCTGCCTCCATTTTCTTCTTTTTCAGCACGCACTATCACTGCCGTCCAATATGAAAGATTTTACAATTTAAGGATACAAATTAAAATTCTCTCCAAAGACGATTGACCTAAAATAATGGCAGTGCTTGGTATAAGCTAACCAGCTGATGTGCGAGCACTCTGGCGATGGACTTTGCAAGTGATTTAATACTCACGCAGACGATGATATACATATACGGTCGATCTATGCGGGCACATAGGTTTCTGCTCCGATAATAATGTAGTGTGCATTTTCAATTGTTCTATACTTATTATGTATTGAATTTGAAACTGCATTCAATAGTTCTGAAGAAACGATCTGTTTGAAATGCATATCAACTTATTATATATAAATAACCATTAAAAGCAATACTTGCAACAGTTTTTTTTCCGTAAATTCATATAAGAAATATAATTAAGTACAAAATGGGAAAACTTAATCTGTTAAAATGCACATCACGTTCAGGGTTTGCTTTATTTTTTTAATAATGAGTGTAACAGGATTTATCTTAGGAATCCAAAGATTGGTCTGTTTGTCCCTAGTGCATCTTCTTTCTTGAGGGATTCCATGACACTTGCGTTTAACTTAATACCAACAAGTTTTCCTATCTGAAATGTATAGTGTATGTTGAGTTTTTGATATTTTTAATGTTATTTTACATTGTATTCACCTCTAATGTCTTTATTAATGTTGTTGGCTGTAGACTGCCGTGTCCCATTTTTACTACAGATGTAAAGCGTCCATCTGGCAATGTTGATAGTACAATACTTGCTGAACTACAAGTTTCTTCCTCTGAACTTGGATCAACTACACAATTATCTCCAATCTAAATTATATTATGAGTTATAATTAATTTTAAATTGTATATGTTAAAATTGCAAAGGAAATCCTTAGTAAAGCATAGTTTGAAACCTACTTTACATAATGTTACTAATACTGGAAAATTTTTAGCATCTAATTTAATGCAATCGTATGGATCATCTGATAATTGAATATCAGGCTTGCCACCATCCAAAGTAGCTGCTGTTACTTTTGGAATTTCAGTACTGTACAGTGCAGCTTTTACCGCTATAGACACAGCATCAAATAAATTTCCACCACACTGTAAAATCTGCGAATAAATATAATCGTTGAGGAGCTTGCAGGATTACTTTGTTATAATGTAAATAAAGGCATACTTACTAAAATATCAACGTATATTTTCCAACACTGTTGATGAGGTAATATAGAAAGTGTTTTTAAATTTATTGCATGTGGGGATTGATAAGCTAGTGCTAATGTATTACTAATTTCAGTAGCCAAACTATCTCCACCTTTTCCTTCAAAAGCAGGTGTAGCATTGGCTGAGCTAAAATATAACAAAAAAAAGTATACAGTTTTCATTCAAATTCTACATTTTTATTCATATCTACCAATCAACAAAAAATTCCAATTTTCCCTCAAACGGATTGTCAGGGAACGGAGTATCCACTTCCACTTTAACACCAACTAAAACATCAGTATTTCCTAAACGTATTCGAGCTGAACCATTAGTCTGTGGCATTAATTTTGTTTCTAATTCCATTGCTCGATATTCATTGCGGATTCTACCATCGTTCCTAAAATTTGCCTAACGAAAAACAAGCATACCATACAGATGTCATTATTAAATCTTATTTTCTTAATCCTTCTTGAATGAGATGCTAAATTTAATGTACATACATCGACTCCATGAAGAATGAATGTCTTTTCGGCTAAACTTAAAGGAATATCTGCCATTCTTCTACGAAAAATACTAATATTTTAAAACATTAACCTCTACCTATTCACTCACGATCTCACAAGTAATGTAACTTAACATAACCTTATACAAATAATGCTGCAGAGTTATGTCAATCATACATCTGTAACTTGACTATACCATGCACACTGGGAGAAAAATATGTAATACTGTAAAGTTTTGGAGTTGTAATGCTGTTGTCATTTATTCACATAATTTATTACAATTTTTTACTAACGCTTTACAGTAATTAATGAGCTCATAATCTATAAGGGTGATTTTTCAAAACCACGTTTGTAATAATCACTAGGATTAGGACGTTCATCATAGTTTGGAAAGTTTGGATCACCTGGATGAACTGCTCCACGCGACTTTAGAACTCTAAAGCCAGCTTTAGTTGTCCAATCCTAATAATTAAAAATTAAATGTAAAGAATTAACAGTATAATATTATGGTATGCAGTACAATATCGCAAACAAATATACTGAAGCAGATTATTGAATTATTATATTTAAACCTTAAACTTACATTGCTGTTATATTTGAAGTAATAAAACATGTAATAAACGCCTGCAATCATGAAGGTTGATGTAGCAATTACTTTTCGAGTAAATTCAGCACCTTTTGCTCCCTGAAAATAAAATCGTATGTTAATTTGCCAAAGAAGAGTTTCATGTAACAATTTTGCTGTTTCTATAAATTAACAATATTACAATATCAAAATCATGTTCTTACAAGAAGGGGAACCATGAGTTTCTGAACATTATCCATTGGAGTTCTGTAAAACCTTCTGATAACGTTATATCTTTCCTTATAATAGTTTTTGGGGATGACAGGTTCATCTGGTGATAGGATTTGATCCTTAAGGTATTGAGCACGCCATGCTCGTTCTTCAGGAGTCATACCCAGGACACGTTCTCTTTCAGAAACCATACGTCCTGCTATGGACATAGGTTTAGTACCACCCGTTGATGATTCCATTTTTGGTGTATAATATTGAACTCTCCTAAGTTCTGCAATAAAGATATTATGGTCAATAATTCTATTAACTTTCTCATTGAAGGTAATAAGATGTCAAACAATATTATTTATTATTGTCTCATAATGTATCTCCTATAATCCATCTCCTAGATGTTAAAATATTACAACTATTGCATAAAATTCTATTTATTATTTTACTAACTACTGATACTCACAAAAAAAAACCCTTTTTCAACTTGACGACTAAACGTAGGTTAAAGAGTATTGTTACGTCATAACAGAGTACAGAGCAGTATAGAGAATACGATATACTCGGTTCTGCTTTCAAACGGATCTGAATCAATATTCACCAGAGCTAGCAAGTGTCCAAAGCCGGCACGCTATTGGCTGCTATGTTGCCATTTACTTTTGTACAGCCAATAGCATTCTCTATTTTACCAACTGAAAACTGTTCTCCTGATCATGAGAATCAAGCTTGAGTGTCCTGCTCACAGCAAGTTTGAGCAGCGCGAGAAAAAAAATTGTAGAATACTTTTACTCTATCAAAAGATGAAAACTTGCGATAACACAATATAATTGACGAGTCGATCTGGGAATAGTCGTGTGATTTTGTTCTCCATTTGAAAAATATTAATTTGGGGTGTCCGACACCCCATGTGCGTAGTCCCGGGTTAAAAATCAGACTAATATTGTTGGCTATCGAATATTACCCTATGCTCTATTCAAAAACATATAATTTAAATAATTGTTTTTCGCATTGTGAAGAATACTACGGTAGACACAGGTATATCATTTATTTATATAATCATTTCGATCGTAATATAATTTTTTTATTATAGTTCATCTTTTATAATTCAATTACAAGTATCATAGGTCTAAGTATCTACGTGTTATAGGTATTTCACAGTATTGACTCTATTTCCTATCCAGATGACTAAAGTCCATATCTACAAATATATTATTTGTATCTCGTGTATATTTTGTAACCTTTTTTTTTAGTACTATGCCGTAATCTTTCCATTCCATTAAAAAGATGGACGAGAGCTCATCTCGCGTTTGAAATTCTGAAGTGAAGAAACAATCATTTTCCGCGCGAAGTCAATTGTGAACGGAGCTTTCAGTAAAGACGTGTAGATAAATTTATAGGTATTTTAAATGTATGGGATTACTTGATTTGACACATATGATTGAGGTTTCGAGCTAGTTTATCGCTGCTTAGCTCGCGTCTCACAGCCTAGAGGTCATTAAATTCAAAATGCATTTTCGTTTCAAACGAAAGATCACGCCAGGAAAATACTATTCATATACTTTATATATGCCCAGACGACGGTTGCCAAGCCTGCAGGCATACACCGTATACATATTCTTAAAGGCGAGAATATCGCGTGTCTCATTACATAATATTAATCATATTATTATTGTGCACTCAAACAAAACACGACGTAATATAAAGTATAAAGCGGCGTAGTAGCAGAATACTGCGATACTTGTTTAAATCATGAAAAAGGTGTGGTTGTTCGTCATCAATACGGGAATAATAGCTGTCAAACTATAATATATCCTAGTCAACATATATGTACGTAATATGTATAGTATGCATTTTCATGTATGTACAATCTGCGCCAGCAACTTAGTCCGAACAGCGTTTCACAATAAACTTTTTCATTAATATTCAACATTTCACGTATAAACTATTCAATGCCAATGCCTATCAAATAGGTAAGTACTCATAAAATATATATAATCGTCAGTAAGTATAGTAATAGTAACATATTAAAATCATCAAATAGAATTTGAATCATCTCGAAGGAGATTTACATAATAGTTTATAAATCTAGATTTATTCTACGCCAGCTCTGCACTGAATACCATTTTCTTGTTTACGATGCAGCAGTGAGATTGAGCGAACATTCGATTTAATTAAAATTTTTTTTTCTCATTCGTATTGCTTGAATGTCCGTTCGCAGACATTGCCGAGCTGGTTATTTTGGCCAAGGGATAAATTAATAATTAATAAGTAGTCTAGTGGCGTAATACGGTGACGAAAATTTTAATAAAAAAAATTTTACGTAGCTACTATATTTTTCATTAAAAATGGCCACTTTTTAAATAAAAAAAAAACATTACGTTAACCGCCTTTTTAAAGCAAAGTGCAATTTCTTTTCTCATCCTGGCTATAAATTATAGTTTATTCTATTCCTCTAAGAGAAAGGCGGATTCACCGCGTTCACGAGAAAGAAGGTAGAGAGACCACATAAAAGAGAGAAAATGGAAACTGCTGGAAAGATAGACAGAGTGAGAGAGATATCAAGTTAAAGCAAAAAAGAGGGTCATAGGGTTACAAGGGCATTGCGATTCGATTAAGATGATCGAATTAAACTTGTATAAGGGAGGTACTAGATTAGATAATATAAATAAATCTCGACGTGGACGATACCAGTAGAGAATTACAAACGTTCTACCGAAAGACTATTAATTCCTAGAGGATAAGTTACAATGTCAAAATTTGCATAATACTATTTGTCCTCTTTGGCTATTTCCATCTTGGGTGCACATTTCCAATCAATGCTCACGATTATCGAGGATAACCATTAACTAGATTTCGCGCGATAATCCCGACAAATCCATTAATTCTTACTAATCAATTTCTCATTCGCATAATTATAATGTATCTTTCAGCGTTTCCTAGCTACTATTGCTGGGGTAGTCTGTGCACTTTACAACGACAAATGAGTGTTTTATTATAACATATTCATATATATATATATTTTTTTTTTCGTATATATATATATATAAGAATACCTCTCAAGTATTATACCTAATGCATTTTTTTTACTTCAAATATGATCTCTCTAGTCGATCACGAAATTCTGGAGGCTGTAAATTTAATAACCTTTAACTATTACGAGTAATCGTTATCGCTATTATATCTTATTCACAGACATCGATTAAGTAGATAATAATATATTAATGGATACATTAAACTGTATAATTCACGAGATTTCCTTTAAAAAGACCATTTTCTCCTCGACGTTTCATAGAGAAACTAATATAGTGCCTATCTAAAATGGATTGCGGATCGACAATAAAGTCGAGTCACGCGTGAAATATGACATGCACACGACACTTAATTTAATCGATAAACGCTAATATAATTACTTCGATGAAAATCTTCGTGTATGAGAATTTCAAAAAATGATGCGCCTTGACCTCGTGTCTTGCGCGTCCATTAACCGCGACGCTTTTGTCAACTTGGTGTCATTCCGAAAATTCCATGTACTCTTATAATGGTATCTCTCGACCAATAGGCCACGGACAATATAAATACGATGTGGGATAACGGTGCGCGCATCGCTTAAGTATTTCTTGAATGAGGATAGAGAAGAAGAAAAAGAGGAGGATCAATAGAAAAAAAAAAAAAAAACAATTGTCACGAATATAAAAATGATAGAATAAAAAAATATAGTAGATAAAAATTAAAGAAAAAGTCTCGTACGAGCGTCAGTTCTGATGAGATGTATTCCTCGCAATCGATTCTCTATATTCCGATACGTTCTTTGTAGAAGATTGCGTACTCTAGCGCACTAGCCTAGGCTACCCTAGATAACCTAAAAGCGGTAGAATTATACATACCTAGTATATATCTCCCTATATAACGACAATGCATGTAGAAAAGTGAGCCTCTCGCGTCTTTGGTTAAACGCGAAGCATTTAGAAAGTATTCTGGCAGTGTTTTCGTAGATGCTTCGACCTTAGCCTCGGACCAAATTTTGATTTCAGTTTCAATGAGAATTCAGATAATGTCAGTTACTCGGGACGTGTGTTCGCATTCGATACTGTGCCTCGCAACGAATTCTTCGGAGCGTCTTCAACTACGCCTCCTGTATGAGTTAATCGTACGACGCTGTGTGGAGACATTAGTAAACCTAATTAACAAATGCACTGAGCAGTCCTCCCTATCACTTCCTAATTTCATGAAGTTAATACAATGTGTGTTAGATTTCCTCAACGATGTCGATAATTATTTTTCAGTGATGACGACACTTGGCCATCGAAATTCCACGTTAGAAGCTACGTCCTAAATGAAATTCATATAAAGTGAACTTATCCTTTGGCACGTTATTCGTCATTTTTTGTTTGTCTGTTTGCTTTGGCAGCTCGTCTTCCGGGGACTGTCAAGGACCAGAAGGTAAGTCGGCTTCAATGAAATTTCATTGTGACACTTTCATCTTCTCGTTACTTTCTAGAAACGCCGGATATTATACCGTCCATCCGGCACCGTAAAACGCAGTTGTTTAGTAATCGTTATCGTATTTCACAGTATGTACCGCAAGTAATGGCGTAGATAATGGGCACGAATACTGTGACTATGAGTGTGAAATCGTGTAAGTATATTAGAAATAAACTAGATTTTGGTTTTTGTGAGGCGCTGAATTCAGTTCTTTTAAGTTCAGTTCACGAGTAGATGGTTATGACCTCTCGACCTCCTCCCCGCACCATAAGCACCCTTTCCAAGCCTTCGGTCAATACTTCCAGGAACTCCATATCTGATTGATTACAATTAAGGAAATTGATATTTGATTAATCTAGATCATGTATCAATACTACGAATCATTGTCACGTTAAAAAGGATACAGTTAGATTCGCGTTCCATTTTGGTATCCCTGGGTGGTCCAGGAAGATTCAGGATTACAAGTTGAGCGTCATGACTCTTATTGACAATGACCTCGTTAAGTTTAACCGCAGTATGCATACGTCTCACGTTGTCCTCGTCACTGTAAATTCATATAAATCATCAAAAATACAGTGTATAATGTAATTCTCATAGAATTCTATATAATCATTAAACTCACGGTGTACGCTGTGGTCGGTTCTTCTTTTGACTACCCGAGCCATCTTCTTGCTCATTCTCCTTAGCTTCCTTTTCATCATTCTCTCTATTTTCTTGTTTAGGAGAGCCACCAATTAATTTCGATTCCTCTTCCGGTTCGTCTTTGCCATCCTCGCCCTTCTGGCTTGACTCCTCTGCCTCAAGTTCCTTGCTGTTAAGTTCAGTCTCCTGCATCAGCTTCTCCTGAACGTCATCCATGCCGTTAGGCTGTTGTCCACTTGGCTCTTGGAATCTGACCTTGGTCGCTGTCTTCACGTCCACGTTATGATGATGGTCCACAATAGCTTGCACCTACGTAAAGAGAATGTTCATTTAGAAATATCAGACTATACATTATATACCAAATAGTGGGAAGACTCAAGTCAAAATTCCACTATGCTACTTTGAAAGCACTAGAAATGGTCGGTAATTAAATGTTCTATTGAAGCCTTCGAAATGAACGTGCCAATCAAGCTGAAACTGAAAGCAGGGTGGAATAACGAAATCACAGAGAGTACAAGTAAAACTACTGGAGGCGTTATTGAACATGATACAGCAATTTTAAACAATGAGTCATTAATTTTTTAACTTTTCACGTCAATCACATTCCGTACCGAGTATATTAATTAAAAAGGGTATCGCCTTATTATACAATTAATCGGACATAGGTTATTATTATATCTTTTATCGCATAACGCTTTAAAATTGTTAATGATATAGCTATGATAAGGATCTTTCCTGTGGAAAGGCACTTAAGCGTAACGTGTATCACAACCAATTTTGTAATCTTTGCCCGTCGCGCATTTTATTAGGACTGTTCCGAGTCAATTGATAACAGTACTCTATTCGCCACCTCTAGTAGTTTATTCCCTTCGAGGCTTTATTGAGTTCACTCGTCAGGATGTTTATTGGTACAATACAAAATGGACGGATATAACAGATGGTTAGGAATAAATTTTGAGGTGTACAGGATAGACAGGCATGGAAATTTGGGGTTTATTTGACAAACCAAAGGCAACTTTTCCTCGGCAGGTACCTCGTTGAAGTCCACCAAAGTCTGCACCTTATCCGTGACGAGCACACAACAAACAGACACATTCGGATCAGTATCTCTGCCCCAATACTCATATTAGCACATTATATGTGGACTATCTTGCGTGCAGTGCGGGATAAAACGTACTGGTACGTGTCCCGCATACAATGTTTTAGAATTATATTTACAAGTTGTATAATTTCTAATAGGCACTATTGTAATTGTACGGCACTCACCACTCCGAGAGATTCCTTCTTGTTCAGCTGAAGTTCCCTGAGCATTTGATTACGTTGCTCCATCATGAGAGTTCTTTCATAGGTATAGGCGGATATATCAGAATTCATCTGAAACGTGGATAATGTTTTAATTTTTGTTTATATATATATATATATTGATTATTTTTTATCTAAAGTACAAACCATTTCTACAACTTCGACTTCTGCTTCGATTCTCAAGTCGTATAAGAATTTCTTGAGGTCTTTCTTCATCTGAATAGAATTGTCTTCCATTTGAGCGACGGTGAAGATCCTCATCTTACAATTCTTCCAGGTCCTATGCTGCTTCAATAGGAATGGCAATAACATGAGAAGTCCGCCATCATGTACGATCCACCATACATCAATATTCCCAACGACCTTCTCTGTCGAGTCGGGGAAGAAATTGATTCCTTTGGGAACGAGAAGAGCCATTCGTGAAGATGTTACACATCTCACAGTTTGTAAAAAGAGCCTCCAGGTCCTCTCATCCTCGGATTGGCGCCATCCGTAGGGCCATCCTAAGATAACCGTATTGGCTTTCATACCGCCTAACCCTGTAGTTTGAATCAGACAACTCAAGCCGTCGATAATGTTCCTGGTTACTAGAACATCCACGAAGCCCTTAACCTTCTCCTCCTCCATAGTTTTTCTAAGACTTTGTTTAGCAGCCATAGCTTCACCTGAATTCCTTGTGTAATCACCGCAAATACAACTAACGCAGATGGTCAAACCTTTTCCAGCTTTGAGCTGACTAGCAAAAGCAAAGAGCTTCCGATACTTTGGTACAAGATCATCAGTCAATTTGGCTAATATAAGAATCTGTGGTCTCCAGTTCTTCGTATGAGGTTGACCTTCTTCTAGTCTCAGTAGAGAATATCTTGCAGCGGAGAGTGCCAGACCTCTAATACCATCACCCCATTCTTTCTCAGCACCTCTGTACTCGATATACTTGTAAATGCATCCAGCCATTCCCATAGCCAAAAGTGCATAATACCAGCTGGTCATGAACATAATAGCAATACAGAGTGCCAGACCGATGAAGGAGAGACTCCAGTGATAATACTTGAAACGAGGTCTCCAGTTAGGGGTGCGCAGTAAGGTTTGCAGAGCACAGGCAAGATTTACAAATCCGTAGCACATGAGGAAGAACATTGAGAGCAATGGCGCCAGGTAATCAACGTTACCAAGAAGAATACCGCACTGGCATATAAGCACTGTCAATACCAGAGCTCTTGTAGGCTCGCCCCGACTAGAGCTGGTGGCAAATGGAGTCAGGAATGGTATAATGCCATCCTTTGCAATAGCTTGTAGAAGTCTAGGTGCTCCAGTCAATGACTGTAGTCCAGCACCCAAAGTCGACAAGAATGATCCAATCAGAATGACCCACTGATTCGGCCAGGCGATGTTGGCTACTACCAGTTTGCCTCCTATGCTCTGTCCAAATTTGTCTCTCAGCAATAAGTTGTCAACGGTACCAGCAAATAGAAGAACCGTCGACAAGTAGACAGTCGAGGTCGTCAGGATGGCACAGATGGTACCAATCGGTATGGACTTTTGTGCATCAGCCAGATCACCAGATCTGTTCGAGCCAGCCATGATTCCTGTACGGATCAGATATTATTAATAAACTATACATAAATATTCTTTCAAGGAATTTGCACTGACATGCACACATCACTGACATAGAAACTCGAAAATAATTATATAAGCGACAAGACATTCCTGTCTTCATTGCAGAAACGTACACATCGTATACTACATTTCTTTTTGACTAAAAAATAAATAAAAATAATTTCGTATCGATGATTATACGTAGATCTAATAAGATGAAGAAATGATCAAACGATGATATCGCACAATCGAGTGTTCGAATATATGAAAGTCGACGATGGTCATGAGTTTGGATTGAGCCAAAATTGAAGGAGGATTATAATGACGATGATTCCTATCTGTCCATCCAAGATGATATGAATGATGCATGAATGTGAGCCTCCCCGGTAATGTCACTCCTCGGCGTATGGAATGTCGTGTGACCCAGGGTTGTTTAGCAGCTAACGTACGCCAGGATTGTTCACCGAGAGTTCTTCTGTTCGAAGCAGAAGGTCGCCCGAATTTCAATCCAAAGACAATCCTTTGATAAGACGCAATGAAGGGCTAGACAGTATTTTTACATAAAACAGTCTTTATACAAGAATGACGTACATTGCTTGTCTATTTTCTTTTCTCTCTTTTTTCTTTCTCAACTATGATGATCTTGCACAGCGGATTGCACTTTAGGAGCCAGTGAGAACTCAATGATGTACTATAAGAGAATAACAAGATACACGTACCTGTTACCGATGGGAAAAATATACCAATAAGAATAGTGAAGGTTGTTGTGATATCGGCTTGTATTTGATTATAACTCGGTCCGGGCACTTTGTCTATGTCTTTCGGGTTTTTACCATAAGCAATGTATTGGCCTTCCTCTTGGAAACTGTCCATAAGATTTTCTGTCGAAAATACACAAACGTTATTTAAATGCTGATTAAAATAAGACTGTCATCACTCGTGACAATCAACTAGATAATACAAACTTACCTAAGAATACTCCACTGGCCAAACCGCGAATTCCATTGACAATGGATACACTATTTTCCTTGTAATACTCGTCGCACTCATCGGTACCATTACCACAGAAAAGGTTGTGTAAACGACCACCGGGATTTTTGTTACATTCATCTGGCACAGTGACATCCTTTAGCAAACGTTTACCCAGGATACACATTCTGAAAAGAATACAAATTTATATTACTTGACAAATGCACATGGATCTTACGTGCTTAAATATAATTAATAATACTGAGTATAATTAACCATTAATTATGGAAGATACTCACTTGAGTGCATCGTTGCCATTAAAGTTGACGGCTAGGCCGACGTAAACAGCCAATATGGAGAAGATAACACAGGCCAAAGCGATTGTGGCGAATTTATTAACAAACTTGACACCCACGAAGACTATGGTACCCATAACCATAAGTAAACCAGTGCCGTAGACCCGAAAGTTATTATACATTATACTAGCGTCTTTGGTGAAGTCGCCAAATATACTGAGCGACGGAGCCATGTAAGTCTTGAAAGAGCAGAGAAAAATCGTTATCGTCATGAATCTTCCTTTTGAAACTTTAGAAAATGATATAAAATAGCCCAGGGAGAAACTCACCAGGACAATTTCAACCGCGCCGATGATGTACATGGCAGCCGCGAGGGTTGTACCTGTATAGAACAGCATCCCCACAGCACCCCCGAATTCAGGTCCTAAGCTTCTGGATATCATGAAGTAAGACCCTCCGGCTGGTACCACACCGTTGGTAGCAATGGCGCTCATACTGATTGCAGTCAGCATCGTCTGTAATTATAAATTGTAAGATTATATGCTCATAATTGATAATTAAATCCGAAAAATATATATATATAATAATATAATAAAATAAAGTTACTTACTACACAGCAACAGCATAAGACGATGAAGAAGCCTTGTATTGCACCAGCCGTACCTACGACCCAGGTCAAGCGGATGAAGAGGATGACGCCAAAGATGTTCTGGATACAGGGCAGGAAGACGCCAATAAGGGTACCCATCCGGGCACCGCCACCAGATCCTGCAGCTGCAGCTGGTTTGCTGTCAGGATCGGTAGCGGCTGGAATCGTGTTGCTGTAATTTGCGAGGCTGTTGAGAAGCGTTGAGATACGAGGTCGATCCTCCATCTCCTCCTGAAAGTTCAAAGGGGGTATTGTAATTCCAGGTCCTTGAGCAGGATATCATGCGAACAAACTTGGAAGCTTTTATTCGAAAAACTTTAAGTTTGGCATAAAGAATATTTGCACTTTAAAATATAATCTTATATTTTTTTTGTTACCTGAAAAATTTACTACTTGGATTCTCCCTTATTTCTGTCTATGACAAGTTTGACAATAAACTCACGTAAACCTGATGGCAAATGCTTGTATTCGCGTACCCTTATAGAAATCCACCCTCAGCCCTTATAGTCGCTTATTTTATTCGAAGGGTGACCCGGTACACGTATAGGTGCTAAATTGAAGAAAGTTACACTCTTTTTCAATGGAAAACCTCATTCTCGAGGAGACCATAGAAAATTCTTGTATAAAGTTAACCCATAGGAATATAACGTCTTTTACATTATAATTGCACCTGGCTAGGCGAGCGCACCTGGTACTATTTAGCAACAAGGAACCGTAAAGAACCGTCGGGCTTCGAGGGAAGAAGTAATTATGATTATTAAGTTAACTCATTCTTGTGTAAAGCTTGAGAAGAAAAAAATAGCAAAGGTTACTCGCCCTTTTAATTTTAGTCATCGCGTCTTCCAGGGCCGAGGATAAAATTTGTGATTTTTTTGTTCCTGCCACCTCCCCCCCACCTTTACGTCGCTATTACGTGCTGGCCGTTATATTATTCGAATGGGTATTGGATAACGAGGATGAAATAGGAATAAAAAAAAATAATTCTTTGCATGAGAATCGATATGGTAGTACGAATCGGTTTTTTTTTTTGAATATTAGAGAAAAATTAAAAAGTATCAAATGAAACGGAAGGATAAAGATTCCTGGGGTTGATAACGTTCAACAGTTTGAAGGTTCAACAGATAAGAAACTGGGACAGCGAAACCTCGGGCTGGTCTTGCGAAGGAGGGTCCTTCATTAAAACGTGAGCTCACTCGAAGCGGGTTCCCTTAATTGTTGTCGAAAGAAAAGCTACCATGGGAAAAGACTTTACAATATTCACCTTTTTCTACTTCATTTCATTGTAGAAGTTGAAATCTTTGGCGGAATTTTTGTACTTTTATTCTTTTTTTAGCTCCGTTTGAAATTCTCCCGACGGCTGAAGGTCCTGTGAGTTCTATATACGTCGATACTTCTTCGCAATAAATAAATACAAAGAAAAATAAAAGACCAGAGTCCTTGGTAGGGCTGTCTGCAATAACGTACATATTTTTGTACCTTCGAGGAAGCAAAGGGTTGAGCAAATATTTTCTTTCTTTCTTTATTCTTTTATTCTTTTGATATTTCTTTTATTCTTTTTTTAGCTACGTTCGAAATTCTCCTGACGGCTGAAGGTCCTGTGAGTTCTATATACGTCGATACTTCTTCGCAATAAATAAATACAATGAAAAATAAAAGACCAGAGTCCTTGGTTGGGCTGTCTACAATAACGTACATATTTTTGTACCTTCAGGGAAGCATAGGGGTGAGCAAATATTTTGAACCCTTGCTTGATATGCTTTTTTTAAAAAAAATCCAATAAATATATATAACGATATTGGGCTATACTGCGTACCGGGATATCATTTACATAGCCAATGTCTCTTGTGGAATTACTCTATACGCCATCCTTGAATATGTATCCAGTTTATCTTGAGATTTCGACATTGCAATATTTCTCAAGTGACGCTATTGCAGAGTTATGCGTGAGAAATTCGAATAAGGTTACAAATTATTGCTATGGGACTGAGTGCCCTTTGACTTCTGAGATGTACAAGGATAAAGTTTTACGTTCCTTCTTTCCAAGTTCTACATTTTTATATGATTCTAGAAGCTGAGACGATTCCCCCCGGTGGACCATAATTGGCTAGGAAAATAAGTAGGGACGAAAAGTGAGATGGAACGAAAGAAAGGAATTTGCTGAACAGAGGTATTCAGGACGTCGAAAGGACGTCAAGAGGATACGTGCTAATATAAAAAAAAAAAGTTTTTCGTCCCCTGTGGAAACATTTCAATTAATCGTCTGACTACGTAAATCAGATCGTGCGAATTCAATTAGTACGTAAAAAGGTCCAGATGCAACGATTGATGAAAAAAATATACATATATATGAGTCTTGAACGAAGATGGCAGTGAAAGAGACTGCACGTGAAATTCCAGCACATTGAAGTGGTTACCATCCAGATACGCAGTCAAGGGCTGCTTCAGAATCTATTTACGGTAGCGGCTGCGCCAATTTCGCACAAGTTGACCCCCTCGCGTTAAGGAGAATTATCGATTTGTTATTTTCGGAATACTCACGCTGTAGAGATATAAATTGGTCTCGTATCCTGACATCTTCTCGGAGGTGGCGCCCCCCACGATAGGTTCGCCATCCCCGCCGGCGCCGCTTCCATCGCCTGGAACAGAAAAAGCCACATCCCTTTCATTAGACTGTAAGGCCAAAAAAGAATAAAGTATTTGCGACGAGGTCACATCGACAATAGAACTACAGATGGGTTACGCCCTGAAACTAGATACTAGATAGCTCCTAGTAGTGTGCTAAATATATATATATATATATATATATATATATATATAGCTTCTACCAGTGGGATGGTTTTGTGAAAGGCTCCTAATGAGGGGAAACATCCTTGCCCGAAGCACACGCACGGTAGACACATCATGAATAGGTACATGTGCATTTCTAGGTCGACAGGAGTACGAGAAGCTATAGCTATCATTCTGATGATACTCTAACCTCAAAAAGCGCACTTAACAAGGAGCAAACGGATGACCCTTTCTATTTTATAGGTTACGTGTTATGACGCTGCTACCCGAAATTCATTGGTTCTCGATACTACCCTGTCTTTGGTTGAAGGATTTTTATTTATCAGACATATATTTCCCCTACGTATCACAGATCGCAAGAGATATTACCTATCTTTGTTTCATTTTTAAAGCGTTACTTCTGTTCTTCGATATCTAGTTCACCAGTTATTCAGTTACCACTTCATAGTATCCAATCAGGCCAAGTAGGTAGGAAGTTGTGTGTGCTGCTGATGCCGTGGAATATGTTATCGATAGGGAAGAGAGTTTTACCCATATATAAGGGTAAATAAATATCTGAATTACGCATTGGAATTGGATTAATTTATTTGAAAAAATGAAGGGTATCGATCAAATTACGTAACACGATTTTACCTCGACGTACAGCTGATTGACCAATAAAGTGTGGTAAAAATACGCGTGGTGCTTCGTATGTTAAAATAAATCAAATTATTTCTCTCCGATATAGCCACGTAAATTCATTACGAATTCGGTAGAATTCACTCGACAGAATAAATAAGACATTCAAGATGGTAGGTACTTGCGTGAGCATGAATTATTTGAAGATTTAGTCAAAGAAAAAAAAATTTACCCAGAGACGAAACTCTTCACCCAACCATAGTCGAGTCGAGAAGTTTCATGAAAATGAAGTGGAATCCGATGGCATTGAAATTGCGATATTTCGAAACACTTTGAAGGTATTGCCGGATTTCTTAATGCGCCGCATCTCGTTTCACCGCGTAATGGAAATGGCAAAGTCTGCAGAACTCCAGTCGTGAATAGAGTGAATCGCGTGTTTAATTCATCTCGGAGGATTTGCTTTCGTCGTACACGGCTAACAATAAGATATTCAGGATTGCGTCTTACCTATATTTACAGACTTTCCGCAACAGCGAGTCAAGCAACTTCTCCATAGCGATACTGATTGTCTTTTACTAGGATTCAAAACTGGAGCCAATTCTGATTTGTGTGTCCGAAACTCCCGCGGGATGGCCGGTGGACAATATGGCGCACTAGTCAAGTGAAAACGGCCGAGGGTTATGGCTGCGTTTGACGTTGAGACAGTTTCCTTGGATGATGACATTTTATTGTACGAGCTAAGCTGTATTGTATGGCTAGGGCGGATTTGGAAGTTTTGACAATTGCTTTGTGCTCTATTTACGGAGACTGGAAAAGTGAATCGATGGAAGAGAGTGAAAAAGGAAGGTTAGGCAAGGATTTGGTGGCAGCGTCAAGACAGGATAATGGAACAAAACGTGAGTACACTTGAACAAAAGACAGCTCGAGTGAGCCAGTCTTGATTCGTATTTAAGCCAGCTCAGCCAATCTCGTTGTGTGAAAAAAAGAGAAGATGAGACTATTACTTCTTCAAGCGATTTTCACATTTTTATTATCCTTATTATGCAGCGACTGCATTACCATAGGGAACGCCCTGTCGAGGTTATGTAACGGGCTTATGTCACTTTTACGTCCGTCTACTTGATAGTCATAAAAATGAATATTTCTTATTCCACTTGTCTGCTTATTCGGCGACGTGACAGTACGTTTAAATGATAAAATGATGAGACGAATAATCTTACGAATTCTAACTAACCAACAATCTCATAAGAATAGGCCGATATTACTATCACAGCCGTTATTAAGAAATTGTAGGCGATTCGCAAGAAACTTTCCTCACCAAACCCAATAACTTAAAGGGTTAAAGCTGCCACGATTTCACGTAACTCTTTCACGTACTCGACTACCGCGAAACTTTTCCAAGCTTGGAAAGTTTCATTGGCGCCACGTCGAATCGCAACCTCACATATTCCAAGCCCCTCTTGAAAAGTACATATAGACAGTTAAGCAGGACGGAAGGAACTTCTTCCCGTTTCCTATCTTGGTATGTATGCGAAACGAGAAGATCGGCATCGGCGTCGTCGGCGTAGTTGCCAATGTGCCAGGTAAAAAAGTTTCTTGCAGAAAGTTAGACAATAGATGACAGAAACCGAGTTAGCTGTCTGGTAGTAAGAAAAAGAGGTTATATGTCGGCCTGTTGGTAGCAGCCGGCGGTTTTGACAATTGTCAGTATCGGCCAGTGGCGGCGAATGCGTGTGAAAGCGAATGAGAAATGGGAAGTCAGTGAAGTACTAGGGAGGGAAAAGTAGAGAAGGATGAGATTGGGGCGAAGAAAGAGGTAATAGTAGGAGGACGGGAATCAGAAGGGTTCAAACAAACTGGGTCGGTGGGTCCACGACTAAAGCAGCCAGGAATATATATATATATAGCTATAGGGAAGCAAGAAGAGACTGTGAGGTCTGCTAGGGCGAATAGAAGGAGGCGCAGGAGGGTAGAGCTAGCTAGCTGACTGGCTGGCTGGCAGCTAGGGTGGCTGGCTGGCAAGCTAGTCTCCCGGCTGGCTGCTGACTGCCGGCTGGCGGGTCGCATTGATCTCTCCTCCTCTCTATTCTCTCCCAGCCTCCTCGTACTCCTCTTTCTCCATCTCCTCGTGAAGTTCCACCTCCTAACCTGACTCTACCTCAGGTTCTCTGGCTCGACTTTACTTTGCGGATTCCGTATTACGCTACAGTAATTCCCGAATGATTCGATAGAAGCTGTTGGCGAACGACCGATGTCCAACCAACCGGGTCCGTGGTGAGCCACATCAGGATTATATCGCCAGACGAAAAATCGAACCCAGGGGGTCACTTGCTACTTTTTGTTTAACCATACAATGTCATCCTCGCGTTTTACACACTGCTTCGCTATATTTCCATCACAGTCGAAAAACAAGCATTAATTAACAAGTTGTGTACACGCGCGACCGGACTGTTTATTCTTATTAATGAGTATGGCCTATGATGTTCGTGCAATTACATTCTGCTTTATTCACACAAGGCTCCAAGTTAATACGATCCTTCCTATTTACACTACTTTTTCAGTTCATCCGACGTGACGACAACGAACGGCCTGTAATTGACTACGCTATGAAGAGTGATTGATTCAAATGGAATTGAAATAACGAATCTGTAATCCAAGAAGCAAGCACGTGCCATCGTTTCACCGTCGACTTTCTTACGAAGATACTGTTATTTTTTATCGTGGCATTAAATTAAAAATTTTGACATGATTTCATCTACTCTTTCTTATCCTATCAGTCTTTTCAGATTAATCGGCTGGTCTCACACGTTTACTTTCGAGTACACTCTCTCCTGCCACCAGGGACTGATCACATGGCTGAGTAATTGCTTGTCAAACTCTGCGACCACGTTAACTTGGTCCAATTGGCTAATACACCCACGTTCAAAAGCACCTTCAATCAAGATACTGATTCCGTTTTTTGTGTAACGAGCTATAGTTCCCTTTTCAAAGTCCTTAGGGAGTCAAATAACCTGGAATTGGTAAAATAGCTGAGTGCTGCTATGTATCTTGTCCAGAGTGCTATCAAGAAGGTTAGAAAGCCCACTTGGTTACCATCGCGACGCTGTCTCGCCGAGAGTTTGATGCGCTTTTGATGTGAACTGGAAGTGCATTATGGAAGGAACAAACAGGGGTAATGCAATTATGTATGTACAGTTGATACCAAGTGGAAACCAAGTGAAATGTAAGTCGTAACTAAAACAGGTAGACGGTTTAGGTTAGTAATTCTTGTTTTAAATTTTACTGCAACATTCTTGTTGCTCTATTGTATAGTAACTCTGTGTCACAGTTGGTGTAGTTTACTTGTTATTTAAATTGAAAACTTGCGCACCGTCGGCATCATTCAATTTGCCAATTTTATCGATTCAACCCACATTCTATATTCTATCATAATTTCTTAATGACAAAATACAGCTGTCGCTACGCAAATCTTGAAAAGTATAGTTTGTATATTTAACACGCTGAGCGCAGCGCCCCTATCGGTGGTCATGGTTATTACCACCGGTGGGCAAGCACTACTTACTCAACGTGTGAAAGATACAAAGAAGACGGAATTTTGGTATTATAGAAAATCGTTTGGATTAATTTTTCGACAAAAAAATTACTAGAACGAGAACAAATTTTACTGCCACCAGCTCCCCTACGGTGATCTAACGAAATTAATGGACGATCTCGAAATGATTTAAGTTTGCGGATACTGGATGAAGAAAACGTATAGTGGGTAGGAAGATCGTTTATATTCGTCAGACTATTAGAAAAATGTCCCTAGGTAGAAAAAGGGTAGTGTAACAAACCAACGGAAGGAAAGCCGAACACGCTCTGGGAAAATACGTTTCCTCCCCGGAGAACGCGGGTATCACGAACCGACTAAAAAATGGAAAGCCATTAATTTATCTGACGATAGGTAGCACTCGAAAAAGGGTCGATCCTGGTACACTCGATGACATTAATCCAAAGTAGACATCCGATACTGTATAATTAAGTAAATTAAACTTCACCCTATACCGTATTTACTATTTTCGCAGTAGATAACACTCTAGAATTTCAAGTAGATACAGACCGTTCGGCACGGACGGTACAGCCAATGAATCTGAAAGACGTCAAAGATGCTGAGAATCTACTTTTTAACAATCAATTCTCAATATCCCTGTTAACCTTAAGTATGACCAAGCGGTTAAAACCGGTTTTCTGTATTAACTATAAATAACGTCTGACTGTTTATTAACGGTGGCTAAATTCTTTGGCAGCCGACTGTCTGATAATAACACATTGGCTAGATGGACCAGATACTGCCATAGACACAAATAACGTGAAACTGTAGCTTCTCCTGGGTCAGTAAGTGGATAACGTTCTACTGGTCCATTCTACAGATTCCCACCCACTATCCCTTCCACCATCAGCAAACGTATAATAGATACGACATGATGAAGATTCTTGCCAGAGGCGCAAAGTAACTTGTCCCCCGGACTAGATTTGGACTTTCCGAAAATTCAAAGTTTTTTTTTATCATTAATATCCCACACTGAAATCACCCCCAAGATCTTGCTCGAAATTACGAGAACGTAACGAGGAAAGAAACTTACGTAATACAACCAGAATAAAAAATTCCGACAAAACTTTTATTTATCATTAAAACTACCTTCAATTTCTTGATTGAAAATCTTATCCACCAACAGATTCCATAACGATCCCTAAATATTTTCTTTACTTTTTCCAGCTTCCTAATAGGACCCCCATCGGAGTTTTGCAGAATCACAAGGAACTGAGACTAAAAATTGAATCTTCAACCTCTTCCTATAACCTAACAAGAGACAGTCAATTTAATTCCATACGGTTGGGTCAACTCTATTTAACGATTCACTTAAACTTCACATTATCTGCCTAAGGTCTCTCGACCTTCTGTACCAAGTACGAAGGCACGTGCTGCTCGGCCGATAAAATTTTAAACTCGCCCCGTCAACACCTACCCAGTTATTTCCACCAGCTTGCGTCAGATCTCCCTTTAATCTCGATACCAATGACTGCCGCATCTGTTATCCGGTAAATCACAATATCCTCCCCACAATCACCGCAAAGCAGATTATTCATCTCCTTTACGAATTGACTAGCCACTCAACCTGAATATATCGCACAGCCGCAGTATCTCCTACGGCCGTTAACAATGCTCGACGAACCTTCGGTAGGTTCGAGAATTAATTTCTCAATGGGTAAAATCCCCGTGTGTTGTATAATCACAGGAAATTCTACTTGGACAAAACAATTCATTCGCTGACGCAGTATTCAGCTACCTTTAACCAACCTTGAAAAGGGTTCTGTTATCTTTCCTCAATGCTTTTGCTCCCTACTTCAAATTGATGCTCTAATTTTGGTTCGGTCGACAGAACTACAATTATCCGACGGTAAACAATTACAACAATGGCTCAGTCCCATTTGACCGCAGCCATAGTACCGGAGCAGTCAAGTGTGCACATGTCCTAATGCGAGTGGTTGCCTTGGCTATTATTGTATACAGTGCTGACCCATGTACTATGCCATGTACCAGTGTAGATGTACATGAAGAAGATACGTATATGTATTCTTCAGTTAGTTACAAAGGTAGCCGTGTATCTTGAGCTTTGAGTAGTAAGTCCCGTTAAGCGCGTAACACGCCCTTGTTGCAGGTCGACTATCGGTATGCGCCAGCCTTACGTAACTCGGAGCTCGGTACTTGGTGCAACCTCGTGCAAAAAACGTTCGCCAAGCATCCTTACAATGGAAACTACTTAACCCTCTGTTGGCCCTTAGTGACTCTGCGTGCGAGTCCACCGCATTCCAGAGTATACTTTTCAGAGCCACTTGCGACTTTGCTGCAAGGGCGTCGTTCGCGACGGAAGAGGCCTCCTGTGAGAATACCTTTATTTCTTTTAGTCAAATTGACTACGGTAACCTTATTGATATAAACCAAATTTTTTTTTTATACTTATAAGAAATTTCAACTACTCCATTATACGAGAGCCGGACGTACTGAAATATTGGATTTCTAAATTAATAAGGGCAAATCAAAATTTTGCGAATTAGATCCACTATTGAATATATATACACTCCTTTGGCATCTCACTGGACTCGTATCGGGTGATACCAGAAAAATAATTTTATGAACACAATTTTTGAAGCTTTCTTCGTAGTAACGACCACGTTGAACGGCTATAATTACGCGGCGAATAATTATACACAGCGGTACCCTTAATGAAACAAACGCGTCTTTCGACTCGACTGGCTCTTTGATTCGAGACTAGTTTAATAAATTTCACTTTTTGTGCTGTTCGATGAAAGACACCCGCTAGCAGCTGCTTGAAAAATTTTCGGCAGAGGCAGACCGCGACCCGTTGAACTCGTCAGAAGAGTACATACGCCAAGAACTTCCACGCGGTCATGAATCGAACCCGTTTCACGTGCTTTGGAGTCAGATCCGTGAGTTATAAGGAGAGCGAGAGAGAAGAAAAAAGCAAAGAGAGAAATAGCAAAGATCCTACGATACGGTTGTGCAATTTCACCGGTAACGAGAGGAATCCTCAGTCGTTATCAACGCGACCTCATTACCCGCCGGTAATATTATCAGACCTCCCAGCAGCCTCAGGGCGGCACTCGCTCCCTCGCAAGGACGTCGTGCAGCGTCCCGACGCGTTTTATCTACACTCGGTTACGTCTCGACGGCCGTCCGTCGCTCGATTCGAAAGCTCAAGGTGGCATTGGTGGTAGGAAAATTCGTGACGACAGGAAGAAACAAAACATCCCAATAAAGATAACCAGCAACAAGAGCCAGCAATCAGTGATCACGCGAGACACAAGTATAAATGGCAGAAATAATAATTCTAGGTTACCGCGGAAGAGCTCGCGCTAGTCAGACTATACTTCAGAGTCCGATACGATCTGCCGTCGGATAAAGTTAGGTTAGAATCGAGTCTCGCGAAGCGTGAAAGCGCTCTTGGATCCAGAATAATACGAGGTAGAAAATAACGACTACTTTATACCGACGATAAATCCCAAGGAAGCTCCGACTATTTTAAAGATTTATTAACCAATTAATATATAACAAACTTTAGCATACCAGCTTCCAGGCGAGCGGGCGAACCATCAGGGACGGTCTTGTTTTTAAATTTCGGAGTTCCCTCGCTCATGGTTATCACGTCTTCGATCCGAAAGTATTTTCGACCAGGAACCTGTCCTCCTCTTCCACCAGGAGTCTCTCCCTCTCCCCCTTTGTTCTCCCCTTTTTCTAGCGGTCCTTTGAAAGCGCCGTGTCGCTCCGCTGTCTTTGTCCTTTGTTTATCTCTCTTTCCAAGTACATATACAGGTATACTTCTCCGTCACCCTTTAACAACTGTCTTCCTTTCTCTCACGGCGGAGCCTTTTCGCGCTTTCACGATTCTCCCAGGACTCCTGCGGCTCGCTCGGCAGGAATCTATCGAGCGATTATATCCTGGCTATCGGCGAGGAGCAATACGATTTTACCCGATTACTCCTTGACCACCGGGTGGACAGTTGGGGGTGGCTGGCTCCGGACACCCCCAGGTCTCAGCACTTTAATCTAATCTTATGCATCGCTCCACGGAACCTTCGCGCACGAAATTATCTATTTACGGGGATGTTTCTCAGGGACGTATCTAGTGTCACGAGGGCCCCTCACTAGGTTAACCTGGACCACTCCTGTCTCCGGGTACGAAGACGTAC